TGGCAGAGACACTCACAGTGACCTGTGAGTGAGGGCGGTCAGGGCCACGCTGAGCCTCGCAGGCTGCGTGACCTCTGACACAGAACGCCGTGAGCATTGGATGCTGTCGGCCCGCTAGAAGGGTCTGGGTGCGTATTTGTAGGTATTCGAGACTGGCACGCCAGACTAATTAGAAGGCAGAAAACCGGAGCCGCCCAAAGTCCAACCACAGGGGATTGGCTAAATCAATTAAGCAGATTCCTGTCCCAGGACACCTTCTCCTTGCACCCTCTTCCCCACTTAAAGCAAAGAGCATGGCCTTCCTGACTCGCCTGTTCTCACGTGGCCTGTATAGGCCGTCAGCAAAGCCCGTCTGTTCCACTTTCTAAGTGTATCTAGAATTGAGCCACTTCTCTCCAGTTGCACAGCTACTCTGCAAGCTCGTGTCAGCAGCGTCCCTCCCCGGGGCGTGGCCGGCCTCCCTGCTCTGGCCCTGGGCCCCCACAATCTCTTCTTTGTCCAGCAGCCACAGTGACCCCTTTAAAATGTAAGTCGGGTCACGGTGCTCCTCTGCCTCAAGCCTTCCCTTGCCTCTCCTTGTTACTCAGGGTCAAAGCCATTACAACATCTTCACACGGACCCCAAACGACATGGCGGCCCACCCCATCCCGCCCCGACCATAGCTCCTGCTCTCCCTCACTCGCCTCAAGGCGATGGACACCCTCCTGCCCAGAGTCTCCACGCTGGCCGTGCCCCCGAGGGCAATTCGGCTCCTCCCCTCACCTCTGCCGGGTCTCGGCTCAAATGTCACCTTCTCACACAGGCCCTCCTTCTGCCCTGCTCAATTTTTCTCTGCAGCACGTACTGGAAACTGACATTTGAGATGTATTCGCATTCTTGTCCATCCCCCTCGTGAGGAGGCAGGCCTCTGGAAGGCAGGGACCATGTCCGTTTGGTTCGCTGCTGACCCCAGCAGCTGCTCAGTGCCTGCGCCACGGTGGGCCCCCAGGAAACGCTGGGTGATGTAGAGGGAATGAATCCACACAATGGGACAGTACAGAGCAAACGAAATCTACCTTTTAGAGAAAAATCAGCAACTGGAAAATGCCAACGATCTCATGGTGAGTGAAAAGGCAGCTATAGGAGAGACCACTCAGGGGGAGTCCCTGAGGGGAAGCTGGACCAGGAGAGCTGCCTCCTCATCTCTCATATCAGCAAGTCAGGGAACCATGCCCAGGGGCGGTTACTTAAGAGACGGAAGGGTAGGTAAATGCGGAGAGACAAGATGCAAGCTGGAGAAGCAACAGCAGCAGACTACGGTACTTGCTGGGGGCGAAGAGTGAGCAAGTGATCTCTACTTTTAAATCTTTTGCAACAACTCTACTTCCTTTGTATGCAGGCATATATTACTTTGATACAAATAAAAAATGTTTGTTCAAAAGGAGGCTTTTAAGAGTCGAGAGACTCCCCGACAACCTCCAAATTCCACAGCACATACACTCTGTCCTTGATCCCACTCCCCAAGGATATCTGTATAGAAAAAAGGATTGGAAGTAAATACACCAAAACGTTAGGTTGCCCCGAGGGGTGACTTTAATTCTCTTCTTCAAAATTATCGGTATATTCCAAATCATGCAAAATGGACATAAATGACTTCTACAAATATTAGCTTAAACCATATGAAATTGTCAATATTCAATTACTTTATGACTCTAAAAGTGGTGATTTAAACCAATAGAAAAAATTATCTTAAAAAATATGGGGCTTCTTTCAAGTTCAATAAAAGTATTCCTGTCCTTTGATCCCATTTTATTTCAAAATGCAGAGATAGATTTACATACAAAGTGTTCACTGCAGAGTAAATTACAATGGTAAAAGCTGAAAAACCCTAAATGCTTAAAAATAAGGGAGTTAAAGGAATGTTATATAGATATTTTACCTGATATTTGGAAGACCTTTAAGGAACATGGGGCAATTTAACATTAAGGGGAAGAAAGCAAGATACACGATTATATATACTCTTATCTTCTCTACGTAAAAGGATACATTATTTATACACCCATGCTCACAGCAGCGTTTTCACAATAGCTAAGACGTGGAAGTGACCCAGGTGTCCGCTGACAGATGAGGGATAAGCAAACTGTCGTCTATACACACAATGGAATATAACTCAGCCTTAAAAAGGAAGAAAATTCTGACACGTGCTACGACATGGACGGATCTTGAGGACATCACGATAAGTGAAATAAACCAGCCACAAAAGGACAAATACTGTGTGATTCCACTTATATGAGGTCCCTAGAGTAATAAAATTCCTGGAGACAGAAAACAGATGGGTGGGTGCCAGGGGCTGGGGGAGGGGGTGGGGGAGTCGTGTTAATGGGGACAGAGTTTCCGGTTTGCAAGATGAAAAGAGTTCTAGGAACGGATGGGGGTGATGGTTGCACAACAATGTGCATGTACCGAGCGTAACAGAACTGTACACTCAAAAATCGTTAAAATGGCAAACGTTATGTGTGTTTTACCACAATAAAAAAAATTAGGAGAAAATGCATTAAAAATAGAAAAAAAGATCTCCAAGGCAGTGTACCTCATAGAAAGAACATCAGCTCTGAAGCGGATCCTGCCTGGTGTCCACTCCCGGCTGAGGAGGCCAGGCGGGGACTAACTTCCCAGAGCCCGTCTGTTTCACCCGTGAAGCGAAAGCCGCCACCCCTCACTGGGGACGACAGCAGAGGACAGAGCGCACGGGAAGGGCCAGATGCTCACTGACCTGCAGGGGAGGCTGTTCTCGTCATGCTGTTATCATGGGGTTGAGGTTACTGTTTTCTTTTTACACTTTCCTGTATTTTACAAAACTTCCACAATTAATATGTATTTCTTTTAAAATCAGAAAAAGTATAATCATTAAAAACAGTGAGGGTCACCATAAACAGAGAGAAAAGACAAGTCACAGACTAGGGGAAGGCATTTGCGACTCACATACCAACAAAGGGGTGGAATCCTTGCAGGTAACTGGCAGACCACGGAACCCGAGCGGCGGACAACGTACCAAAGTGTCCGACCTTACTGACCTTCAGATTGGCAGGAATTAAAACGCCCGAGAAAACCAAGGGTTGGCAGGGATGCGGAGCATCAGGGACTCTCCTGTGAGGCTGGCGGTGGTGTACACTGAATGACACGACCTCGGTGGCAGGATCTGGAAAGCTGACCACATGCTGGTTCCCCGCCCCACCCACCTGTCCGGCGGTTCCGTGCAGAGGAACCCCGTGTGTGCACACGGAGACAAGCACAGAAGTGGCCGGCGCTTTGCTTGTAACAGAGAAACGACCTCCTACGTGCTCATTAGCAGGGGGATGATAAGTGACCGGAGTGCGTTCACTCAGTAGAATACCTTCAGTTAACAGACTGATTTTATAGCAGCTTAAGTGAAGGAACTCAAGCCAATGTAGTAACATAGGCAAATCCTAAACACGTTAGTCAGCAAGAAGAAGAAGTGCAGAAGACAACGTTCAATATAACACCATTTACATAAAGTTTCAAAACAGGAATGCAATGGTATCTGTTGGTTAGGAATGTCCGTCTAAACGGCAAAGATAAAAAATCACCACTCTCCCCAGGGAGAGAGCACAGCGTTTAGGGGCCTGGAGTCGGAGCGAGACTTCCCGGGGTCCACACGGCAGCGCTACCACTCGCCATGGGGGTGACTGTGGGCCAATGTCCTAATGTCTCTGTGCCCCAGTGTCCTCATCTATAACAGGGGATGTTAACAGCACGCCCCTCGTCCCTCGTAGTCCTAATGCCTCTGTGCCCCAGTGTCCTCATCTATAACAGGGGATGTTAACAGCACGTCCCTCGTCCCTCGTAGTCCTAATGCCTCTGTGCCCCAGTGTCCTCATCTATAACAGGGGACGTTAACAGCACGCCCCTCGTCCCTCGTAGTGACAGGGAAAGGATTCCATGAGTTAATGCATACAAAGGACTGAAAACAGGGCCTGGTCTGGAGAGCACCACACAGTGTTTGCTGCTGCTATCATTATTACAGCGAACCTCAACCCTTAAAAACGTTCACACTATTTGCTCTAGTAATCTCATTTCCAAGACTCTATCCTAGACAGGTGGTCAAGGATTCATGAACTCAGGTGTTCGTTATACGCAATAGGTGCCATTGGAAAGGACCGAAGCTTCCGGCTGCAGGCGACAGTTGAGCACATTCTAGGACAAGCCTGCTGTGATTTCGCTGTTGCACTAGATTTGGATTTTTCACCTTTGTTTCCACCTCCCCTTCCGTGCAGGCAGGGACCGAGCACGGCACTGCGTGTTCTCACTCAGGCAAGAACAGTGAGCAAAGAAATCTGTGTTGGTTGAAACTAGGTTGTAATTGTTGCTAATGATGTCGGTCCATTTACATTTAGAGACCAAGCAATGGCCTGAGAACAAACAGCTTGTGCAGCCAGAGACGCAGTCCCGGGGAGGAACAAGAGCTCGATGGTCAGCCACTCACCCTCCTCCAGGAAGCCCTCGCTGACTTCCCCGGTGACCCTCCCTCCTGCTGAGCCTACCTGTTAAAGCCACTCTCTCCATGTCTACCTCTACCCCCAGCTTGGCCGATACACGGCCCACGGCCTGGCACATAGTGGGTCCTCAACAAATGTCTCCTGAGTGGGTCCCAGTTCCCTCACTTCCAGCTCAGGGCCTGATGCATACTGAGCCTCACTTCTCCGGACACCAGATCATCTTCGGGGATCTAAAATCCCTGAAAACTCTAAAACAACCAGACAAGAGCAAGCTCCCAAACTTCTTAGAAAATAAAAGAAAAGTAAATTCCAATGAAACGAGAGATACATATTTACCTCCAAATACTCTATGTAGAATTTATATCAGTTTTTCATTTAGAACGAGCTAATTACATGAAGTGATTGCCAATTTATCTGGCATGGTTTTAATCAATTATCCATTTTGCCAAAACTAATTTTAGCCCTTTTTCAAAGAGAGATGCTATGTGCTGCAGACATTCCTACCTCTTCAAGAAAATCGCCGAAGTTCTGGAGGAAGTATTTCCAGTTTACATGGGGGGTGAGATGAATCCTTAGTTTTCTCAAAAAATAATGATACTGGCTATCTGTTAGTTTGTAACAGAAATCCTTAAGGACTTGTCCAAAATCCGAAGCCTTTACAAATCCAGTGTCCTCTTTATCCAATGCAGAAAATGCCTAAAAGAAAAAAAAGGCAGATGCTACTGTCAAGTGAATATTTCAAAAATATTGTTAAGTATTGCTTTTCTGAATGCAAATGAAATCGAGTGTGTGCAGGTCCCCCATAAATTCCAAATTACTAGAAAAATGCACTGTGATTGAAAGATGAGACAGGGGAGGTGTGCGTACGGTTAAGAGCATGGCTGTTCGGAGGAAATCCGCTTCCTTCGCTCCTATTTGGATATGAAGAGGAAGAGGAGTGAAGAGGACCCCGGCCCCCGGTCTGCGAGGGACACCTCACTGAGCTCCCGGGAGGCTGGCTCTACGGAGCAGAAGAGACGCTCTGAGGGGTGAGGTACGTCGCCCCAGGTCTCTCCATCAGTAAATTCTAGTTTCTTTAAGCACAAATCATTTGTAACAGCAGGCTCGGGCACAACCAGCCGCCTCGGGGTGTGGGGCGGGGGTCTCAGGTGGGAGTCCCACGTTGGAAGTGGCCAGGAGGCGGGGTCAAGGGTCTACCCCCTCCCATTCCCACCCTGAGGCTCGTCCTTTCCTGACCCTCAGCCGGAGCTCACGTGGCCTCACACTGGAAGACCCCTGTCGCCCTATGCCCGTGCTGGAGGGGCTGGGCAGGCAGTGCCAACCCAGCGGTATAGTAATCAAACTGAAAAAGTGCAAAAATGCGCTATAAAAAGAAAGCACATTTTTTTCCATCTGTCGAAACAAAATCATTCATTTTCATTGCACTAGGAAATCTGTATCAAGCGGTAGGTTAAGATCTTTTTATTTTAAGCAAGAATTCAATGTGCTTGCAGACCCCAAACCAAATTCCATGCAGCCAGCGCTCACCCGGGTGACTGAGCACACCCCTCAGCCCACGGGTGGCGTTACGTGTAACCAGATTAACCTGAGAATACTGTATAGCTCCGACTTTCTATCTAGCCTACGGTAACACGAGGTGGCTTCCTGCACACCGTCAGGAAGTGGACCCTGAGCCTCGGCTCTGTGGCCCACCCAGCCCTCACCCTCTCTCATTCGCCACAGTAAAACTTAGAACAGCACGAGTCATGAACGCCCTCTTGTTATATCGAAGAAGCTGGTTCTCCTCAAAGTCTGCTGAGAGCTACTACGTGCCAGGTACCTGTCTGAGCATTTCGTGTCACGGGGCGTTAGAGACACTGTGGTGCTGTGAGGCGAGCTGGGGGCCTGCTCTTCCCTGGGTCTGTGTGGCTTCCCCGTGTGTCAACCCAGACTGCGAAGCCGCAGGGCGGGGGGAAGAGTCAAACGTGGAAAGGCTGAGGCACCCACAAAACTCTACATAAATAGAAGGTGTAGTTACATCACTTCAGAAACGAGATGCGTCTGAGACACGTCTGCAACGAGATGCACAAGTGCACAGACAGGTCCGGTGTCCTCTCTGATGGCTGTCCCGAGACATGGTCGTTTCTTCCTCTCCTCACTGCCTCGAATGCCTTCTCTCCCTCCAACTCATCGGCCACTCTTTTGGCCAGAGAATCCCCATCTGTTGCTTCAACCTCATGGCCTACGGAGTGTTCTCAGAGGTGAGAGCCATGATTCCTCCCAAAGGTTCCATGGACCTTAGTTTGAGAACCATCCTGATACATGTAAAGTGATGCCACCTAAAGCTAGAAGGGGGCAAAGCCTCCTGCAAATGATCTGGCCTGCACGGTGCTTTTGAAAAACCTGAACTATGTGCTGACATTTAGAAGTCAGGAGGTTTTATAGCTTCTAATGAAAAATGAAAAGATCTAGCAAGGCTGGGCCCATTTTCAGCTCAGCGACAGTCGGCTGGGGCAGAGAGAAGCTGCCCTTTAGACAGGGCTGTTGCCGCGGCCACCACCTGGCCCCCTTCCCCATTTATTTTACTCCTGGTCCCTGGGCACGTCCGAGTTTGCAGTCCTCACTGGGTGAACACTGGGGCCAGGCAACCTCAAGCAGGCGCTCTGGTGTTGAAAGGTGTACAGACGGTTTTCCAGATGACCCACGTGGTTTTCCAGATGACCCAAGACATATTCATACTAACAAAGACATCAAAATGTTAAATCCTCATGGAGAATTCCTAGATGTGAAAACTTCTGCTCTCCAGGATAAAGCCAGGTTCGCTGCATTCCAGAACTTTCACGAGCTGGCCAGGCTGACTTGCCTTTCCCCTCTCCTCCCTCTAACCCCTACGCTTGGCCCCCAGAGCCCAGCCGCCTCCCTGCACTGAGGGCATCTTCCCTCTGGGGACTTGGTGGACCCGTCCCAGGTTTCTGAGCGCGCCTGTAAGTACGCACGCCGCAGACATGAAGACAGCCCTGCTGCAACTGTGGCTGCCTGGGCTCTGCACGCCCAGCACCGCCCAGGACGCTCTGGATTCGCCACCTCACTGCACTGCAGGCCCCGCGCTCTGCAGACAGCATTTTCTCTCCTGGCTGCTGCTGTAGGGAACTCAGGTGTGGGCCAGTCTAGGGGACCACGTGGCCAAAGCACAGCTGTCCAAGGGTCTGGCACGGTCCACGGCCTCTTCCCTACACATGCCTGGGCTCGACACACTCCACAGTGTGTCATACAGACAATCCTAAAATGTCAATATGCGGGGGAGACCCCCTTTCTTATGCCTTCCCCTGGCTCCTGGTGGCCTTCCAAAGGAGTCTTTGTGCCACATCCCAGCCCTGGCCAACCTCTTCAAGGCCACCTGGCGTCACGCATCTCCACGGGCCCAGTGCTCACGGGATGTGCCGAGCCCCCCACCTGAGGGCCTCTGTCCTCTGCCCTCTGCGCAGAACCCCTTGTCCTCGCCCCAGACCCAGCATTTGCTAAACACAGCACTTCTGCCCCAGAGAACACGTGCTGGGGGCCACCATGGTAGCTTTTTACAGAGCAAAAACAGATACACATTTGCTAAAACGAACAGCGTGATCTTGAGGGACTCATCTGAGCTCCGAGGCCCTAAGAGAGTGGAGAGAGGTGGAAGGGGTCCCGGGGGGTGCGGGGCTGAGAGTCATCTTTCATGAATGACATGGGTGCCAGAACTTCAGTTTCCACAATCAAAGCGCTTTGCAGCCTGACGTACCATTGACAGAGCCGGACCGGAGGAGGCAACCACCTCCTGGATGCTCTTCAGAATGTCCTCTGGATTTAGTGTCGCGAAATTGATTGGCGTGCTCTCTTCTTTCTCTTCTGGCTGCGGCCTTGTTGGCTTGCTGTTCTCCACTGCTTTCAAGAAGTCAAGGTAATTGATGGAATTATCATGCCAGCTGATTCCCCAACTTGTGCCAAAAGAAAGAAAATACATTAGTTCAAAAAAACCCCCCTATCACTTATTCATTCAGCAAACAGTTGCTGAGCACAGAACATGGGGAATATGAATAATGTTAAGGCACTCTTTCCTGGCCTATAGGTACGTGCATGCCAATTAGCCATGCTCGTAGACAGACACACGCAAATCCTGCAATATAAGGGGACAGAGGAGGGGCTGTGGGGGGTGAGGGGGCAGGGCCGCTGCCAGCTGGCGGGGCCACAGACTGTCCTGGCCGGAAGCTCTGAGACCTGAAGGCTGGACGGTGTGGCTCACAGCCTTGGAGAGCAGAAGACGGGAGAGGAGGCCGCGCTAGGGAGTCTGGTCCTACGACTGGGGTGAATGCAGGCGCCCGGCAGGGCTGAGACATCTGCAGAGCGGTATTTGCAGGGAGACAAAGCCAACAGCGGGGTCACAATGGTCTGGAGGCAAGACTGCAGGGTGGTTGGCGTGGGAACTGCGGTCATTGAGAACTCAGCTAATGGGGGCCCGGCAGGGAATGTGAAAAGGAAGGAAATACGTCAACGACAGCGAAAAGGAAAAGAGCAACTGGGTAAAACAGACGTTAAATTCTTCTTCAAGAACGGTTGAAACTAGGTTATCAAGCAGAAAGCACTCAAAAAACATTTTTACAAAACCTATATAGCTGAGTATTTTCTCAAATAAAACATTCCATCTAAGTGTATGTCTCCATAAGGACATCCACGGAGAAACGGAGGCTCCTTCCTGCCCTCGACGCCAACACAGAAGAAAATACCAGTAAATTCCAAAACAATATATTGCGAGAGAAAAATCCACAAGTTTCATGAGAACGTAGAGCGTATTTATTAAAGGTGTAAAATAATTCAAAATAAAGTTTAATTGCTCTCAGAGTTCACATTTCTGAAACTCAAATTCCCTGGGGATCCTGACACTTGAACACCCCAGCCTTCTTTCGGCAGCGCGGACAATGTGTGAGACAAGGAGAGCTCGGAAGGTTGGGGAGCCGGGGAGAGAAGTTTCCAGGGACTCAGAGACCTGCTTCTAAAGGGAACGAGCCAAGAGCTGTGCTTTTCCGACTCACAGCTGCGGAGCTGTCTCCCCAGGCACCGCGCCACTGGCTCAGGCGGCGGGCGCACGGAGGAAAAGATAATCAGCTCTATTTCATCGGCAGGATAAATTGCCAACTCGGTATTAAAATTTAGTAATAAAATCAAATGCATATGCTAATCTCCTCAGTATTATTTAGAAAAGTCTATTTTGGACCTAGAAAAGAATAATCTACATATAATTACAAATAACAGAGATGTTTATCATCAAGAGGTCTTTGAGATGGGAGAAGCGGCTGAGCCATGGATCCTTATTAAGGTTTCAATTGCTAAGAAAGTTGATCACCCCCATTGAAAGGTGGACTACAGAAATTCCACAGTCCTTTTGTTGTTGTTTAAAAAGTATCAAGCCTAACTATGTTTTAACAAGACTCTCTTATAATCATTTAGTTAATTATTTATCTTGTGCTATTTTCCTGTGATTTATTCACTGAATGCATATGAATTCTTCTTCAGCTGGAAATAGATTTAGTGAGAGGAAACTGTTTAAGGAAGAAAAGAACAGACAAGTGTTTGTGGATTAAATGGTCCTTCTTTTCATCACACTGACACAACACGCACACACTGGCATCAGACTTCTCGCAGCTCAAACACAACGGAGCAGCGTCTTCCAAATTGTAAGGGAAACTCATTTTCCCCCTAGGAGTCTACATTCAGACGAGCTAGCAATCTGTTTGAGGGAGAATAAGAAAATTTTCAGACAAACACGAACTCGGAAAAACTGCTTCCCATGCACCCTTTCTTAGGAAATTACTTCAAAAAATGTGGGATGTAGGAAACAGGGGATCCAACCCAGAAGAATAGTGGGGGCCAAAGAAAAGAGAAAATCTTGAAAGAAGCCGGGGCGGGGGGCACTTATTTACAGAGGAACAAAGATAAGAATTACATGAGACTTCTCATCATAAAACACGCAAGTGAGAAAAAGGGTGGGCTGACATATTTAAAGTGTTGAAAGAAAAAAAAATCACCAACCTAGAATTCTATACCCAGTGAAATTATCCTTCAAAAGTGAAGGAGAAATAAAGGTTTTCTCAGACAAACAAAAACGGAGGGGATTCATCACCAGTCCCCGCTCCTTCAAACAGTGTGACCAGACAGTCTGCAGAGAGAAGGGAGCCCACGCAGGCCAGAAACTCGGCTCTGCACAAGGAAGGGAAGAGCGTCAGAGAAGGAATGAGGGAAGGCGGAAGAACGTCTTTGATTCTTCTCATTCTTAGTCGAGCTAATAGATGACTGTTTGTTCAAAGTAAGAACAACAATGCATGTGGTGACTACAGCGTATGCACAGGGACGTGAACGACAGCCATGCTGTAAGGGACAGCAGAGAGGATGGGGGAATTCTCTGACGTAGGCACCCGCACTGCCCGTGAAGTAGTCGTGCGCCATGTGAAAGTGGGCTTAGGCTAGTTACAAATGGAAACCCCCAACTCTAGAGCAACCGCTGACCTTTTCTTTAAAGGGAGGGGAGAGGTGCTCATATTGCCCCCCTGCAAACAGAAGGCCGTAAGATTCAAGCACACGGTCACAGAACACGAAGCCAGCACAGCACAAGGATACAGCAGGATGGGAATTGCATGCCACAGCCACCGGAGGAGGGACAATCGACTCTTAGATCCTTCCAGTGTAAAATGAAGCGAGGCTAGGATTTGCAGTTAAAGTGGCTCAAACACACATATCTAGCTCTGTTTCCACTTAAAACCTTTCTAAAATGACAGAAGAGGGAGTTTTGAAAAGGTGTAAAACAGTGGTTCTTAAAGTGGGGTGCTCTAGTCCAGTGGCGTCAGCATCACCTGGGAATCATTAGAAATGCAGGTTCCCAGGCCAACCACAGGCCCGCTGAATCAGCGGAGACCAGGCCTCCCAGTGACTCTGAGGCTTGCTGGAGTTCGAGGACCAGGGGCATAAACCACTGAGGATGGAGAGAACGTGGAAGAAGACAACAGCTGCTGGAATTCCATGGATGAAGGAGAGTGGATGTATCAGCTCCAAGAAACCAACAGAGGGAACGCAGAAAGGCAACCTGGCGAACTCTGCAAATGCCCTCCGACGCCCCAGGACTGGGCTGCCAACCACCTCTGGAAGCGGGAATGAAGGTGGGGATGAAAATAGCAGGACTGGTTAAAAGTCTGTGTGGGAAGGAATCAGAACCCAGGCCTCTCCCCAAACTCCAGGTGGCCGGGTGCTGGTCCCCCCCCCCCCAACAGCAGCTCTGGAGGGGCTTCTCTGGAGCGGCTGTCTCTGCACTGGAGGCCTCTGTCCTAGGCCAAGGCAGCGAGAGCTCTTAATGAAAAGAGGGGAATTTAGTTAAAGCTTGTATCCTAACTCTACTAGTTTCCTATGGCTCTGTAGCAAAATACCACGCAGTGGGTGGCTTCAAACATCGTCCCTTTATTCTCTCACAGTTCTAGTCACCACAAGTCTGAGATCAGCCTCCCTGGGCCCAAGTCGAGGCATTGCAGGGCTGCACTCCCTCTGGGCTCCAGGGGAGAACCCCGTTTCAGCCTCTCTCAGCTTCAGGTGACGGTGGCAACCCTTGGCTTGTGGTCACACCACCCCAATCTCTGCCTCTGGGATCACTTTGGGGTGAACTCTCCCTGCCTCCCTCCTCTAAGGAAATTGGCAATCGCGTTGGGCCCACCCAACAATCCAGGATCAGCCCATCTCAAGACCCTGCCCTGAATCCCATCTGCAAAGACTCTTTTTCCATATAAGGCACCATCCACACATCCCAGATCATGGGGACCTGCACATCTTTGGGGAGGGTTATATTCGGGGAGTTCACCATATAGGCTGTTGAAGCTTCCAGCCGGCTCCCAGTGAGCTCCAGCATAGTGGCAGCAGGAGACCAGAGAGTGCTCTCTGATTGGGCTGCCAGGCGTAGAAAAAAACCCAAACCAACCACCACATGGTTACTCAGTTAAATTACAATTTCAAATAAACTATATATACATAATATTTAGAATAAGTATATCTCAAATATGGCATGGTATATACTTATACTAAAAAAAAATTCTGTTTATCTGAAATTCCAATTTAATTGGGCATCCTATATTTTACCTGGCAACTCTATTTTCTGGGAAATCTGACCAGCCCAAAAGAAAAGTTTTAAAGATACTGCCACTGAGGGGCCCCCAGGGAACGGCCTGCCAGATGACCATGGAGTTCAAACCACAGCCAACAGGCCCCCATCTGTGCAGAACTTCTAATCCACTCCTCAGTGCCTCACTCTAACACCAGCATATTTTTGAGGAAATCATCTAACGTGGAACATAGCAGAAAAAAGCAACACTGAGGAGAGAATTCTCAGGTGAAGAAAACTTAAAAAAAAATCTACTGCTAATATCTTCAGAGAAATGAGATAGTACATCTATGAAACAAGAACAGGATGCCATAAAAAAGGAACATTCTAAGAACAAAAAATGAGCTCTGGTGGGGGTCAGCCCAATGGCATAATGGTTAGGTTCACATGCTCTGCTTCAGTGGCCCAGGGTTTGCGAGTTCGGATCCCAGACGTGGACCTACACACCGCTGATCAAGCCACGCTGTGGCAGTGTCCCACATACAAAATAGAGGAAGATTGGTACAGATGTTAGCTCAGGACCAATCTTCCTCACCAAAGAAAAAAAGGAGCTCTGGTAATTAAAAATATTATAAGTATGATAGCAGAAATAAAGATCTCAAAAGAAGGGTCAGGAGTTAAAATTGAGGCAATCTCCGAGAAGGCAGAGCAAGAAGAAAAAGAGATGGAGGCTATGAAGATTTAAGAAACAGCTAGTTGGTTCAATATTCGGTGACAACAGGCATTTCATAAAGAAAAGAACAAGAGAGGAACTCACTAATGGAACAAATCAAGAGAATCTCTGAGAATTGAAGAACACGCAAAGGGCCATCCAAGAGATGAAGCTGGCAGATTAGCTGATGTGTCTGAACCCACTGCAAGGAGATTTCACAATTGGGGGTGAGCTGGGGGTCGAATTACTGATAATAAGTACAAAGAAACTAAGTAAACAGAAGAAAATCAGATAATCATTAACTCCAGGGAAAACAAAACACTATATAGGAAAGGAAAAGTGACCAGCGAGTCACAATAATATAAATCCTGAATACTGATCTACCCCAAATTGAGATGCGGCGATATGGGGAGGCTGTGGAGACCAGGCTGTGCGTGCTTCCACGGGTGGGGGAGGCAGGGGGTGAGGTGGCTGGTGGTGTGATGGGCGAAAAGCCTTAAATGCACATCTTCCTGGTAGGAGGTCAGTAGACACTGCCTAAAAGCGACAAATCAGGAAGCAGCTATAGAAGCCTGCCACGGAGAAATACGGAGTTAAGGACCAAAAGTTATCAGCTGGAAGCGACGGAACTTGTTCACTCCGGGGAGGGGGAAGTGAGGAGAGATGGGGGGCAAGGGGGCTCCTGTTTCTAACAAGCCTTGTGGAACAGTTTAACCCCTGCCAAAGGGCATGAATAACTTGGGTAAAATGAAAATAATGTTAAAAAAAGGATGATTATGCTGCTGAGACATATCAGGAAAGTTATGCATTGGTCAAACTGCTTTCTCTTTTTGCTGCGAGTGACCCAAACCCACTATAATGTAGCCCAGCCAAAAGGGATCCGTGGGGGTTGTTCTAGTGTCAAAAGGCTGTTTGAGTGGACAGAGAAGAAGAAATGAAAGCAATGCGTCCACGCGGCTTTCAGGCCTGGGAGAAAGACAGTTAACTGAGGCAAGGAAACCTGCTGAGAAGGTCGGTCAGCTCCTCTTCCCGAAGAGGACAGCCGCATTCCTGCAGCACTTTCTGCATGCTGCTTAGGGACACGTAGCCGTTTTTAGATTTATCCAGTTTGGTGACTGCTTTGCTGATATCTTGATAATGGTCCTTAAGCTTTTCCCTGAAAGAGAATACATTTTAGACACATGCTAAAATGAGGAAAACAAGCAATTTCTTTAAAGCAAGAGTTTCATGATCATTCTACTGTGATGATTTGCTGGTTCATCTAAGAACTAATTTGGAAGACGTTCTGCAGCCTTGATGTAACATTCACATTAAAAGGTATTCCGGAAAAAATTTCATAAGTCTGCAGCGTTATCATTTTATTATTATTATCTTAGCAAAACAATGTTAGAGAAATTACAACCTGGTCTTTTTACTAGAATTGATACTTTAAAGGTGGAACCAAGAATTTAAAAATACAGCGATATTACAGACATGTGAAAGAACGCTTCATTCTCTGCATGAAGCCTGTGAGTATCGATTATGGGCCGGGCATGCACCACACGTCAGGAGACAGCTAGTGAACCCGGCCGGCCTTCCTAGAAGAATCTGCATCCCAGCAGGGGCAAGGCTGATGATGAGCAGAAGATATCAGTGCCGTGTGCAGTGGGCTAGTGGGTCCGTAAAGAGCAGGAGAGCAGGACTGGGAACGCCCACATGGCAGCAAAAGAGCGGCAGTTCCCAGGAGGGAGGTGGGGCAGGCCTCACTGGGAAGAGAGTGGAGGTGAAGGAGGCAGCAGGGAGTTACCCCAAAGAGCTCTTCCGGGGCCCAGGGACAGGCAGCGCCAAGGCCCTAAGAGGCAGGTGTGTGCGCTTGGGGCGCGAGGAGGGCGGAGAGGCCTGGGCCTGTCGGTGTCAGCTGGGGGGACCCCTTGTTTCATATCTGGTACTTTTGTTGTTAAGAACGCAGCCACCATTTGTGTGCATCAACTGGCAAACCTGAACGTGCGCGTCTTCTTTGTGCACACTCTCCCATTTCTTCTGCCCAACGACCCTGCAAGGGAGGTGGGTACCTCATCCCCATTTTACAGATGAGGAACAAGACAGCGCCAGCCCCGCGGTGGAGTCCGGGCCCGACCAGGCCTTTCCCTCCCAGGGACAGAGACGGCGAGCATCCAGCTGTAGCTCCTGCTCCACGGCTGATTTTCTTGCAGAACATATTCAAGTCTCTGATTCTGCTAATTCAAGTCTTTCGGCCTGGGAAAATTCTTCCCTGACTTAAAAAAAAAAAATTATTGCTAAGGGACTAAAAGTGTATGGACGTCTTTAAGAATGAACAATCTTACACTTGACTGATGGTGGATTGGTTATAAATTCCATAACCTTGGCTCACTCAGGTCTCTAAGAAAGATCTTCCTACCACACTGAACGCTATTCTTGTCTGACGGGCTCAGACTCAGAGCTCAGCTGTGGGGTTCTTACTCAGGGAAAAGAATATGCTAGAAATTCCAAACACGAAATCTTTGCTGGTAATTGTCTACCACCTCAAGTATATATTTGTGGAGAGGACAGTTCCTTGAGCACGCCTGAAAAAATAATCCGTAGGAACAGAAAACTCAGAGATCCAGAAAAGCGGAAGTTGAGTGGGAATCGTCAGGGCGCGAGAGGGGAGTGGCAATGACTTTGAAGCTATGTGGGTCGTCTACTCCCTTCCCTCGGTGGCCTCCAATTTGGAGCTGGCTGACTGGAGCATTTGAGCATCTGATATAAATGAGCTGCATTCACCGCTCTCTGAATGTATACCAACAGCAGCAACATTTTGGATTCCCTTACAGGTGTACATTGAATTCAGTCCCATGTTACCAAATGATTACTCGTCATCACAACCATTATATTCCACTTAATCCTTCAAAATGAAAGCAAATGAAGGTAGAAAAAAATCAAAACATTTTTTTGAGATACATATTTTTAGAAAATTGAGGCATTCAGCATTTCTTGGACTGGTTTCCAGGCAGTAATTATTTCCCTTGCAAAGTAAATATGTGCACAGAGTAAATGAGGGTTTAGAGCATAGATCACGCCATACTGCCAAACAGAACGGGTGTCAGCCGACACTCAGGGACGAGCTGCTGTTGCTCTGGGTCCGTGTCCGGTTCCTGGTCTGGACAACGAGACAGAAGCCTGAAGAGGGCCTGTCACGGCCAGTGGGATGGCCACAGAGCCCCTCCCACGCACGGCCTCGCTAGGCGGGCAGCACTGCCAAAGGCCCCATGGTCCGCTGGTTTCGCTCAGTCGCCTCTCAATTTGCATGTTAAAACGGCCCTGCTATGTGGCAGTTCCCTATGGTGGCTCTGATCCTGAATCTTCAACTCAGAACAGAGCAAGGCAGGGGAAATAAATATGAGCTTAAAAACAGATTTTCCTTAATTTTTAAAATGTATTTACTGCCCTCCAAACAAAATAAATTCCCTTAGATTTAAGAGGCAAATATAACATTTCGGTCACTTTAATGAATGTGACTCCCATCTGTCAACCTTATCAGAGTTTCAGGAGAAATGAAGAGGTAAAAAATCCTGGAAACGTGGAATCTTACGAACTATCTGGAAGATCTACCGACATCAAAATTTAAAGCAGGCCATCCCGAAGGGCAAAGCCGCTTGACAATTTTACAATCGGACATCTTTGAGAAAACAGAAGTCGGTCATGCATTTTTATGAAATCGGGCTTGTCTTCTTTAGTAAGAAAGTACGATCGTGGCAAAGAGGACGGGGTGAGTGTGAATTAGTTCACTGGGCTTGGTGATCTGAAATGCACGTGGCTCTTTCAGCTACAGATCCCTGCTCACACAATCAACAGAAACACAGGAAGAGCAAGAACGAGCCTACGAGCGCCGAGGATGTGAGAATCCTCTCTGAGCCTCATTACTCACAGCGGCAGGAGAGAAGAGAAGGGAAGACACGAGTGGGTAATGAGGCCAGCCCTGTCTGATAAAGATAAATTCCACTTTTTCATTAGTTTTATGGCATGTTTGATTTATACCAGTCCTGCACACATTTTTACTTTAAATTTCACAAACTCAATTCTCTGCCTTCAGGCTTTATAACTCAGTAACTTAGAATGCGGGGGGGGTGGGGGGGGGGTGGGGGGGGGTGTTCAAACCGCTTTCCCCTTACACCCTCTTCAGCCATTACACTTCTTCCCTGTGTCCCTTGGAGTCCTTATTTCCTTTGGGGATTGTTTAGCAACAACCCATTCACTCAGGTGCTATTTGAGGTGTGGGGACAGAGAGCTGAAGTGACAGACAGACACACAGATGAGAGCACCATGGAGCGAAGGCAGAGCTATGGAGCGAGGAGCAGAGGCTGGCCCGGAGAGTGCTGACGGCCGACGCCCGCCACTGGTGAAGGAAACCCGTCCATTGCCTTATGGCCACATCAAATGCAGCAAAATCTCCATGTTATAAATTTTTAAAATATGACATTAGGAACTAGTTTTAAACTTTGAAAATAATCAAGCACAGCCCCTCCATCCGGATGTGACACATCCCCTTTGCAGAGCATCTTCTGGTCCTCACGGACCCGTACACATCTGACATGGTCCCAGTTGTGGTATGCACACTGTTTAAAACGTCACCTCCAATTAGCCTTCGATCACCAACATTCTCCAGTCTTCACGATGCCGACTGCAACAGGCAGGCACTGCTTCACGTCCTTCAGGGCCACACTTTGCAAGCCAGTGCTCTCCCGCGGGGTCAGCAGGTGCTCCTTCCGTTGCTGCTGAGGGCACACTGCAAGTCAGACGCTCCCACTGCTAAAGTGCTGGCCTCTTCTGCATTATTCCTTTGGGATAAAGTCCCCAAAGTGGAAATATGGAGTTAAAGAATATGTCTGTTCATTCATTCATTCAACAAATATTGAGTGGGTACCTGTTAGGTGTCAGGCTCTGCTTTAAGGAAGACAGGCCTGTCTTTACAGAACTTAGCTTCTAGTTGGGCCAGTGGAGGGGCGGGCAAAACACAGTGAACAAAGAGAAGGGACGTTCTCCAGGGCAACCATGCAACATGCACGAGCAGAGAGCGCGGCTGGGTACGGTGCGTGGGCTCAGAGCTCTTTACCTCCTTTATCTCCGTGACTTGGCGCCCATTCCCATCATTGACCGCAGGGAATGAGTCTGACAGTGTCAGGATAATTCTGCCAGCGCCAGAAGGTACCACGTTAAACAACTTTGACCACAAGGGTGAACATGGAGCACCCGGCCAGCTCCTGGTCCTACGATACCTGCAACTCACCGGGCTGGCATGGCCTTCTCTGTACAATACCTGCAACTCACCGGGCTGGCACGGCCTTCTCTGTGCTCTGCTGCAGCTCTTTGATCTCTTCCTGCACCTGCTGCGGCTTCGTGAAATGACCCATGAAGTTGAAATAATCCTCTGCATAGGGCTGGTGAACATCTGCTGAATAGCTGATCCCCAGTTTCTGCAAAAATTCTTGGTAAGTGATGTGCCCTCTTCCCTCGGTGTCATAGCTTTGAAGACAAACAAACAAACAAACTCTCATGAGTAGCTGCCACGGTGCGTCGTGCCCAGGGCTTTGACAGTATCTGCACTGTCTGCAAGGGGCCACCCAGGTCCTCATCGCTCTGTGTGCCGCAGACCAGCGCACTGGCTTCACCTGGGGGAGTCAGAAACGCAGCATCTCAGGGCTCGCCCCAGACCTGACCCCAATCCGCACTGAACCAGATCCCTGGGCGATTCATCGAAATTTGAAAACCATTGCTCTAATCAACAGAAAGCTTACCTCGTATGCTGTGACCCTGGCCCACTCCAACAGGCAGCAACTGAATCTGTCCACCTGTCATTCTGGAGAAATACGGTTGTGACCAGAGAAAATGAAAATCCACCCTTCCATTCATTCAACAGTTTTTTTATTGAGCACCTCCACATACGAGGAACCATGCTAAGGTTTAGAAGAAAATCCTTCAAAAAGCATATTCAGTCTTAAAACTCCAATAAGTGAATGCACTTGATTCAAATTCCCCATTTTCTCTTTGAAGAGATGCGAATTACATACAACCAATGAGAGAGACTAGTAAGGAAAACAAGATAAGAACTATGCTACGTGCCTTTTATGTCATTTTCTAATGAGATTTTTCTGAATTTAATTCATTAGAAAAGGCATAATGGAGAGTTTTTTTTTTTAATCTCCCAACATTATTCAAATAGAATAGAATTACTTCAATAAAAAATTTTAAGGCAAATTGCCAATCTTTTTTAAAGAAAAAAAAAGCATTTATTTCTACAGGAAGATCTCGGTCTTCATCTAATCAATAAAAACGGCGTTGGTGGCTGTGATTTTTCGCAGATGAACTCAGAGGCACAAGGACCGAGACGACACTGAAACAGCGTGCGGGCACACCTCTCCGCAGGCTGCTGTTCTGACGTCCGGTCGAGGTCGACCGACCACAGCAGCTGCAGCCCCTTGCGAGGCGCAGTCCTCCTGGCCCTCGCTCCCTCACTGGCAAGATGCCGAGGAGCTGCAGAGCTCCACGCTCACCCCGAGCCTCCCACACTCGAAGCTCTCTGCGATCGTCTCAGCTGAATAACAATGAGGAAAATGCATTTATTTACACAACTTTATGTCCTCAAGGGGTAGGGTGGTGGGTGGAGGACAAGGGGGTAAGAAGTTTGGGCAAATGCTTCACGCACTTGTGCCACAATCTGCAGAGCGCTGGGAGTTGGAGTGCCCTCCATCCTTCCCCAAGGCCAAGTGGGCCTGTCCCCCAAGGTGCCTAGGAGCCCAGGGCCACCTCCTCTCCCCACCCTGTCCTTCTGCACCCTCAGGGCTGCAGCTTCCTTTTGCCCTGTGTCTGACTTCCACCCACCTTATTCAGCACCCAGGCTTGTTTTTAAATTTTTTTTTTTAAGATTTTATTTTTTCCTTTTTCTCCCCAAAGCCCCCCGGTACATAGTTGTGTATTCTTCGTTGTGGGTTCCTCTAGTTGTGGCATGTGGGACGCTGCCTCAGCGTGGTCTGACGAGCAGTGCCATGTCCGCGCCCAGGATTCGAACCGACGAAACACTGGGCCGCCTGCAGCGGAGCGCGCGAACTTAACCACTTGGCCACGGGGCCAGCCCCACCCAGGCTTGTTTTTAATCATGGACTCCATCTTAGAAGATAAGGAAATTCTCCTCTAGCGGGGTGGAGAGGCAGCAAAGGGTGGGGAACTCCAAGTCAAACAGCAGCTCACCGGCCTCAAGACCCTGGCAAGGCCCTGACCCACGCTGGGGCTCCGTCTCCTCATCTGCGAGCCACTGAAGGCGTTCCTAGACCTCTGGGCCGAGTCAGCGCGCTGCAGCACTGCTGACTTCCTATTATTTAGGAAACGCTCTAAGACCTTTCCGGTGTCTGTTATTAGAACGACCTTAGTACTTGCAACACAATAAAGGACCATGCTACCTTTATTCAGCCAACTTGTTTCTAAAACAAAATAAAGTGACACACCCACAAAAGGAGGCCCCTGGGGTCTGTAATTCCCAAGGCTTGTCCTGTTGGCCAGAGCAGAGCTGTGATGCTCCAGGAGTGTAGGGCACTGTCTGCTGCTGCTGTTCCCCATCCAAAGGCTCAACCACATGCTGCCTCTGCCTCCAGTCCGTGTCTCCTCTCCCTGCCAGACGGCGAGTTTCTTGAGGAGAAACCAAGCCTTGCTGATCTTTACCCGGAAACTCACAGTGCCCAGCAGCAGGCCTGCAAAGCTTCGTTGTCAGTACAAGTCTGTTGAGCTAACGAATGTGAAAGACACGTGTTCCTAAGGAAGGAATTGCCACCCTTCCCTGTTATACTCAAGGGAACACCAACGACAAACTCTAAATCATGACACTTGAACTGAATGAAAAGACACTTCTTAATTACTTCATTAATAAAGATCATAAACAGTCTACTCTCATTGCAAAGGAGCAGAAGACCAGATTGCACAATCACAATGGAAATATTGTTATGAATGTGAATAATCAGAGAGTTAATTCAGCCTACATAACCTCACCCCCATTACATAATCCTTTGTGCAACATTAAAAAAAATCAACTTGCTTATAAAGGTTGAATTTTAAAATGGTTCAGCAACAGATGTGCCAGGAAAAATGTGCACAGAAACAGAGGACCCATAAAAACTTGCATTTGCATATGGCAATGGCCACTAATTTATGACATAATCAGATTACTCTGCCCATTTATTGTATACACGGCAGTTTGGTCGTACACATGATTTGAATATGTTCCCATCGATTGCTTTGCTTTGCTTAGACAGTCTGAGTCCTTTAGGCTCAGTTAAAGCACTTGGTTCTTACATCAATGACATAAGTACCTTCTAATACCACTAACCCCAGAGTTAGAGGGTCTGGTGTAAGCCCCACGGACGACCCAGGCCATGCCACAGGGGTAGAGATGGCACCTTGTGCAGCTTGGGACACAAGGAATTCTCTCGGGTACCATCTGCCAGGGCGGTCTGATGGCTCAAACAGCTGCCCTTCAGAATGCAAAATGTCCACCTGCCCGAGTTGGCCATGACCAACGGGCACATCCACCAAGCCCTGGTGGAATCACAGAAAGTTAGACACCACCTGCTCCAGTCCCCATCCAGGGCCACAACCTTTCCTCCACGCTCCCCAGTAAGCAGCGGTCTAGCTTCCGATGAAGCCGTGCCAGGGAAGGGAAAACCGCTCCTTCAAAGACTGCCCACTGGAGTTCTAGACAACTTTAATCACCGGAAAGTTCTTTATGCTGAGCTAAGAGCCCACCCAGCCAGTCCTCTCCATGCCGAACCCCGCTTCACATCCAGCTCTTCTAAAACTCGATCCCCACCACCCCGTCCCGCTCAGTCTTCTCTTTTCTAAGTTAAAGACTCTGTGCGTTCAACCTTTCAGATCCTGTCCCAGCCGAGGCTCTCCTTGCCCAGGAGCTCCACCAGGACGGCACCCAGGAGGCTCTCTCTGGGCACTGCCTTGGCTGAGCCACTGGAGGTGATCTAGCTTCTTGTTCACCTAAATCCGTACGTCTTCTTCACATGAGCCAATGCCTACGGCACAGGCACTTTTTCGTAGTCTTTTTTTTTTATACTGGAATACTGACACACAACTTACCCACCCTATCAAGAAATGTGCCTAAATTGGGCATCATCTCCAAAATGTCCTGTAGAGTCCACCCGATTAGCTGGTTTTACACACAAAGAATCTACACCGAGGTTTCGGAGACTGCTGCCTTCCTACCCCAGTCCTCCTTGGGTGCATTTTTACAACACACTGTCTCTACAGTTTCTCAGCAAAGTTTGTTTTAGATGCAATAGCGAATGGCACCTGATGAAATGAGACTTCAGAAGATGCTCAGAATGCCGAGCATCCCCCTGAGGGAGGGCCTCCCGGGCCCTGGGCAGCAGGTCTGTGGGACACCTGGTGCTGGGACCCTGCCCCTGACGGGCTCTTCTGATCCAGGCAGCATCCTCCCTCTCCCAGCCCTCCTCCCGGCCCTGGGCCTCTCTGCTCACTGGGATGCCCTTCCCCCACCTATGACTCATGGCTGTTTATTACAACTGCGTTCAGGCGTTGCATCTCCTGGGGTCCTTCCCTGAACACCCACACTGCTCCCACAAGCCTGGCCGCCCACGCTTGTCTCTCCTGGCATGCTGTAGCTGTCACCACGTCTGCAGGTATGTCTTCCCTGGGAGCTGTGAGCAACTGAGGGTGGGGCTGCCTTCATCTCTGGAACCCCAGAATCTAGCACAGGCCCTACAACTTGGAAAGATTCAAAAAATTCCTGCTCAATGATGCTCAGATGAATGAATGAATAAATACACTTCCATCTTGTAATTTATTCTTAGCAGATTCTCCAGACATATTGCTCCTGAAATCTCATGCTTAAAGATCCTATTTTGGCTTCAGTTAGCAGGTTTCCTTTCACAATTAGCAACCTCCCTCAGGCTTGAACATTTTGTCCCTTTAATCCTCAACGAGCCAGCCTGTGACAGCCCCGCTTGACATTCACGTGCTCCCCACTCTGTCTAGCCCCTGTGCAGTCAACCAGGGCCACTGACCAGCCCTGGGCAATAGGCTGTGGGCAGAAGTGTGTCACTTCTTGGCAGAAGTCCGCCAAAACCCACATGTGATCCTGCGGCCTGCAGTCCCTGCCTCGGTGGGAGGGGCCCCCTGCCAGGACGATGAAGCCACCAGCTGGAAGCCAGCCAGACCCCCAAATCACCACTTGGAAGAGAACTGTGCAGAAGAGCCGCTCGACATGCGGTGGACGTTGGGTGAATAAGAAATACAACATCCATGTGCCAGGGCACTGCGATCTGGGGGTTAATCTATTCATTTACTTCCACAGCACAAACGAGGCCCTTTAGACCAGTCTTAAGCTCTACGATAGCGCACTTCACAGGTGCTTAATAAATGTTGAGTGAGTAATGGATGCTGACAAATTTTTCCTTGTCTGCATTCTGCCCTATTTTCTCATTTTGTGTTTCTGAAAGAACAGAATGTTATTTCCCTCCTCACTTCCACCTACCCAATTTTGAGGGGCTTTCCTATTCTGACACTTGGACCCCCTGAGCTGGCAGACTGTGTCACGCTGGCCCCAGCTGCCCCCTGCCTTCCCTGTGGTCCCTGTTGACTCGCACAGTGGTGGGAGAACGCCCTCCCTCGCTAGGGCACCTGCAGGAGGCTCCTGGCGCCTGGACCACCCCTCGCTGGCGGCCCCCTCCTGCTGCTCACTGCCCTGCTCTGCAATGCAGAGGTGGGTTTGGAGGGAGTGGCCCAGCGGGAGGTGGCTGCCTCGTCAGCGAGCACTGAGCCATTGAGAGGGACAGGCCAGGAGCGGCAATGAGGGTGACGGCGATTGGCTGAGATCAAGGAAACACGTAGAAAACCGATGAAAAACTCCACTACCAGGTTACCACTGCTCATCATCTCTACCGACCGGGTCACGGCTGCTTCTTCCTGTCATATTTTCTTTTCCTTCATGCTTTTCTGTATTTTCTGAGTCTTCTAAAATGAGTGTGTATTACTATTGCAATCAGAAAATAATCTTAAGTCTATATGATCTTTTTGCCACTGATTTTTATGCTTATATATGCCATACTCCACACACATCGTTTGGTCCCCATAGCCGTCCCATTTGACAGACGACTGAAGCCCAGAGAAGGTGAGCCACTGGCCCAAGGCCACCCAGCTCAGCCCAGGGTTCCAGGGACAGGGCGCGGGTCCCACTCAGAGCACAGCCCTTAGTGCAGGTGACTCAGCTGCCTCAGGCTGTCTTCTCGATTTCTGCGCGGGACTTGGAAGAATCTGAGGAGCATCCCAGCTCCTGCTCGTGCCGCCTCTCCTTCCAGGAGCTCAAGGCTAGTTTGCCACCCTAAATCTCTCTCACACCTATTACTTCTTCCCCAGCCCTCCCAGCACCACCCAGGAAAGCTCACCACCTCCTCTTGCTTAGGCCCTGAGACAGCCCAAGGCACCTCTGTGTCCCCTGCCATTCACCCTCCTCCCTGTGGCCAGTGACCTTTCTAGAACTCGGGCCTGCCTAGGTCTTTCCCCACTAAACACTTGGCCTTCAGGACAGGGTCCCTGCCTTGTCCTGCCCTTCACGACGCAGTTCAGTGGACGCACGGCCTCCTCTCCTGTCTGTATCTCCCACGCTGCACGTGTTCCAGCCACCCCGGTGATCCCACAGGCCTGGAGTGGGATGCCCTCCTTTGCCCCTTGGCTGGATGTTCACCTGCTGGCTCTCAGCCCCGTGCTCATCCTTCAGCAGGTCTTCTGAGTTACCCCCCGACGTTCCGGAGGTGTGCCTGGTCAGAAGGTGGGAAGAGGACAGAGCAGGCTGCTTCCAGTGGCTCCTGCTCAGCCCAGCAGCTGAGATCCAGCAGATTCTGAGAGTATCTGGGGTGGAGGCAACTTCTTGATCTCTAAGAAACACCCGCTTCCCTTCTGCCCTCAGTCCCTGGTGGGGGAGCAGCTTCCTGATCTCTGGGTAACACCCCCCACCAACCCTGCATGCTCTTCCAGCCCAGGGGCAGCAGCATCCTGGCCTCTGAGCAATGCCACATTCCACTTCAGACATCTGGCCCTGCTGACATCTGGGCAATCAGTCACGGCATTATGTCCCACTGGCCCGTAAATATTGGAGAGGTTCCTGCTTTCCTGGCTGGACACTGGTGAACATACTCCTGGAGTTTTCTGTCTCTCGAATGCCCCTCTTCCTGCTCCCTTGGACGTAATTCCAAGTGTGGCAGATGCCATGGTGAGTCCTGCCATCTCACTTCTTTTTCCCCCTGGACACACATCCAGACTGCTTCTCCCAGCCTCCTTTTCCGGGGGCACAGCCATGGGAAGGGATTCTGACCAGCAGAACGTGGGCAAAGTGACAGCCAGTGTCTAGGCTTGGTCCCTACAGAGCTGACCACATGGTCCTCTCTGCTCTTCCCCATTCTCGGCTGGCAGACACCAAAGATCCAGGGGGGTGATGGGACTTCTGGTCCCTGAATGATTTGTGGGTGGAGCCCCACAACACCCACGTTAGACTGTGACATTGTCATCAGGGCACGCTTCTGAGGTGTCGGCCTTGTTTGTTACTGCAGCTAGCCTACCCTGACTCAAACTAATTTAGCACAGCAGACGGAGGCCCAGAGGATGATAGCACGGGGTTGACATTTAATAAGGTCAGTAAATGTATAAAGAAAGTTCAGCCAAAAGCAAGTGTCTACCCCCCGAGAAAACGGAAACTCGCTCTGTCCCTGCTCCAGGAAGGGCTGAGCGCGCCCTGGTTCTCCACACGAGAGCCTTGCGGGGACACTTGACTCCAACACCCTCATGCCTACGGCCCGCACCCAGCTCGGGGGCTTGTCCTGTCCCACCCTGATGGAGACAACAGTCTCCTCGTGCTCACCCCCGTCCAATCTTGAACTGTTTCCTGACGCATCACCCTAAGGCGTCGCTTGATTCATGCCACAGCCCCACTCAAACTTCCTTGTCCCCGAAGGCCTGGCTAATAATGCCCGCAAACGATGACCACGGCAAGGGGAGCGCCTTCTCCGGCTTTCTCACCCTGGGAGCTCAGGCCCCTGCTCACGGAACGCCTCATGGACTGTCTGGTGGGTGAGGCCGTCCTCCTTCCCCACCTTGACCCTTTGGAACTATTTCCACATCACTCCTACCGTGACAGCCGCCCGCTGCCCCACGGCCCCCGCATTCCCGCTTTCATCGCCCAGGCTGCTCCACCTCGTCCCTTCCCTGGCATTTATCACGCTCAGTGCTGCAACCCAGGATTTCGGTGAATGTCTCCCATCCCCCGACGGCTCCCTGAGCATCGGGATCACACAGGCATCTTTGCATCATCCCAAAGGTCCACATAGCGGGCAGTCCATACATTTGCCTGCTGCACTCCAATCTCTTGATGACTCAGTTGTGCCTACTAATTTAATCTACTGAAAAGAACAGGAATAAGGAGTCTAAGTTGGCCCCGAGTTGGAACTGATCTAAAAAAATAAGGATTTTGTAAGAACTTCAAGTCGCTTTTCTAAATCAGACACAAAACAGCCCACCTAATTCTAAACTCAGCCCACATTTCAGCCTTCCACTTTGAACAGATGAAAAGCTAAAAAATTACATGAACTGCTTTGTGCGCTTGCCCCTGAGAGGACGTACAGTGTTGGTACACCATCCTGGGGGATGCAAGTGGCAACTAACATGTAATGAGGAAGGAGTAATTCAAAGATGGATCTGGAACCTGGAAACAGACCGCGTGGTTAGTGTACCTTGAAATGGAGACGTCTGCACAGGGAATACTGGGACTCGGGGCCCGACTCAAAACCAGCTAAATCTAAAATACATTTTGAAAAATGTAACCAATATTAGATATTATTTTCAGTTTAAGACACCCTTGGGAAACTACTCCAAAGTTGCTAAAAGTTTGGTTATTTTCTTCCAACAAACTACTTATCTATAAAAGTCGTGCAACAGTGATTTCCATCTTTAGCCAATGGGGACAGACCGTTTTTCCCTTAACTCGTTGCAGGTCTGTGTGCTGAGCCAGTTGTATTAGAGTTAAGTGTCTGGAGAGCGACCGAGTTCTCTAAAGCAGTCAAAGTCCGGCTTGAACTCCTCTCAAGCCTAATACAGGTGACGAGGGTTAACCCTGGTTGTCCATCTTCCTGAAGCCCCACCTGCTCACCCACTCTTATTCCTGTTCTCTCCTGCTTTCTAGGGAGAACAAGGACATAGGACAGACACAACTGAAGAAAACCATTCCTGGCCCCCCGCTTCCCCCTAAGTAGGGATGAAAGGTTGGTGCTGACCTTGCAGCAAGCAAGCCAAGACCACTGAAAAGGAAAAGAGCCAATCTTCAGATGCCACCTACCTCATCCAAAGCTTTTCAAATTCTCTCGGCGTGAGGGGGATGTCAAAACCATACAGCGCGTTCTTTATGTCCCGTCGTCGAAGAATGCCGTTGCCCTCATTATCAGTTTCTATAAAATTCTGCAATATTAGGAGACAGCATTCAGTAACATACCAAATGTGTTCATGGTCGTATGCAGGATTTTCAATAAGCAGCATCTGGAACAACATAAGACATTTCCCCCCAGCCGCCGGCTGAGTTCTAGACACCTCGTCGCTCCTGTAAGGAAGGTGACAGAGCAAACGTGACTGTGGACAGAAGTTCTTGGTTCTGGGTAATGAGTGGCCGCAGGTGTGCGGCCCGGATTCTTCTCCTGACCAATAGCTTGGGTTCAGAACCTATTAAGCAATGAGGGTCAACCAGAGCCGGAGAAATGAGACTTGAGGTTATCATCTCACCAGGCAGGGGATTGGACCCTCTACTGTAAGCGGGGAAACGAGGGCGTTAGACTCCAGCTGCTGTGACAAGAAGATATGGTACCATCTTAATGTCCCCGAGGGGTGCAAAAGGGACCTGGGGATGTCAGGCATTTCAGAGGACCACGGGCTAGAAGAGCCAGTAACTCAGCCCGGCACTCAGCACCACCTAAGTTATTTCCAAGAAACCGCGCATTTGACCTCCGCATAACGACGCTGTGAGGGTGCACGGCTGCCTCTGCCGCGGCTCTGCAGCATCACACCGCAGGGTGGAGGGTCCAGACGGTCCTCTCAAGATCAGGGGGACGAGAACATCTCCATCGCCCTCCATTCAACATTGTATTCAAGGTCCCGGCCAGGGTAGTTAAGCAAGAAAAGGAACAAGGGTCTAACAATAGGATAGAAAGAAATACAGTTGTCACTATTCACAGACGACACTACTGTATACATAGGAATACAAAGAATCCGCAAATTAGTTATAATAAGAGAATTTATCAAGAAATCTGGATTCAATATCAAGAGGTAAAATCATTCATATATTTATATATCAGACACAGAAAATGAATTTTAAAAATAATATTTACAATAGTATCAAAAACAGAAAGTCCCAGGAACAAGTCTTACAAATGATTATAAGACTTCTACACAGAAAAGTCTAAAATTTTATTGAAAGATATTTAAAAAGATTGAAATAAATGGAGATACACTATGTTCATGCATTGGAGGACTCAAAATTGTAAAGATATTATTTCTCTCCAAAGAAACATCCAAATAGGTTTTTTTATTCTTTGTGGAACTTTACAAATTGATTCAAAAGCTCTCGTAGAACACGGATGGGGGGCTAATTATGACATATGATTAAGTCATGGTGACTACAAAGATACGGTATTAGTGCCGGGACAGACAAGCCAACCAAGGGAACAGAGCGATGAGCCCAGAAACACGCAGGGCCTTGACGCAGGACAGCGGAGACGCCGCAGATCACTGGGGGATCTCTTATCCCACTGAATGGTGCCGGGACAGCGGGATCTCCAGATGGAAGAACTGAGCTGGTCCCTGCCTCACCACACATATGCAACATCCAGTGCGATTTCAGGACCGGAATGTGAAAGGTGAGACTGCAAAGCTCCCAGAAGAGAACGCAGGAGAGCATCTTCACAACTTCAGGGTAGGGTTTCTCAAGCAAGATCCGTGGGGGATGTGCAGATTTGACTGCATTAAAAGGAACTCACACTCCTCAAAAGACATTATACAAAAAGGGTGAAAACACAGAATACAAACTGGAAGAAGATATTTGCATCACATATTACTTATGAAAGACTAGTAGCCAAACCGTAGTATGAGTTCCTATTGACCAATGAGAAAAAGACAGACAGCCCAGCGTGAAAACTGTAAAACGTCTCAAGCAGGCACTTCACAGAAAAAGGAAAGCAGACTGATGAATAAACAAATGAAAGATGCCCAATCTCATTAGCAACCAACAAATGCTAATTAAAACTGCGATGAGATACTGTTACACATCCACTAAAGAGGAGGAAATTCAGAAGTCTGATTGTACCAAGTGCTACAACGGCCGAGCTGAGTAGTCGCGACTGAAGCCCTACAGCCCACAAAGCCAGAAAAACTTACTGTCTGGCTCTCTGCACAAAAAGCCTGCTGCCCCCGGCCTAAGGTATTGATGACACTCTGTTTCTTCCTCTGGATGTTGGTTACATGGTGGGATACAATTTGGGACACATGGCAGCTACTTATTATTATATACACATTATTATATCTGTTATAATATGTATATACTATATATGCATATAAAATATATACATATTATATATACACATAGTTATATACATATATTATTAGTATATTCCACTGTAGAGTCACAACTTAAAAAACTACTAAGTTAAAAAAATTAGGTCTGGAAGATTTCAAAGTACCTTTAAAAACTTAGAGCACATAGTATGACAATAACGTGAATGCATTTAATGCCACCAAACTGGTCATTTAGAATGCTGAAGATGGTAAATTTTATGTTAGGTGGACTTTACTGAAAAGTTTTTAAAAGCTTACAGCACGTAAGGCTGCTCTGGCGTGTCCCTGGCTGCCTCGCCCTGCAAACGCCCGGTGTGACCCTGTGGACGTGTCAGCGCTGAGCTATGTGCAGCCCCACTATGTGGTCAGCCCCGACATCCTCCCCATTCTCACCACCTCGTCCACTGCCTGCTCATCTTTTAAGTGACCTCTTCTTCTTGGGTCACTTGGGTACCCTCATCATACACCAGCCACTTCCACCGGAATACATACAATTCTTTACACTCTTTTTGGTGTTCAGACTACAAGTCTCTTGGGAGCAGAGACGATGTTTTTATTTTTTTTTTGTCATTGCTTCTTTAACACCTCGCAACAGAGCATAGTTAGCTCATAACAATGTTTGCTGAAGAAACCAACCAACTTATTTTCCAGAAGCACTGAACTGGAACGGAGCATATTAAACTGCCCCCAGACGGGATGACTCGTGCGTGCTTCTGAGAATTCGGCTGGAGGTGTCCCCACAGAGCACGGCTGAGCGGCTGGCCAGTGACTCGCTCTGAAGATGACTAGACAACTAAATACCCGAATCCTTGTTCAGGTTCCAAACGCGTTTTACTGGAGGATACACCCTTTCAGATGTTAGCCGGCCCTGTGGGTAAGTCCCCCCCAGAAATGCAGCAGAGGGAGACAAACCCCCCAGCCCCAGTCACTTCCATGGTCTCCAAACGAATGACCCAGAAGCACAGGGCAGGCGTGCAAGCGCCATGTGACAGCACTGTCTTGTCCCTGGGCGGGCCGCTGGGAATGCTGCTAGCCTTATCTATGTGCCATGCTAACTTTCTGCAGGTTGCGAAGTCAGAACGAATTCCTTCAATGCTCTATTCAGAATAAACCAAGGGAGTGACAGAGACATCTAATATAATAATAATAAAACTCACAGGGTCATTTAGTCCTCCGGGGGTCAAAGAGAGGTGTGGGGGCCAGTGAGGTGACAAGTGTGATGCATAACACTCGATTCTGGACAAAGTGGCTCCTTTCGCTCCCGCCTCCACACACCCCTTCAGACCGGCTCTGATTCCTCTCTCTGTAACCCTCCGCGTCTCTTCCCCTTCCCACACTCCCGCCAGCCTCAGTTCTAGAAGAGACCGAGACCTCTGTGGGACAGACCCGGGGCTGCTGGTTGAGCAGCACAGCGCTCCGGGGCCCCACGTGCCCTCTGCACACAGTTCCGGTTCTGCAGAACATCAAGCATAAAGAGGCTCTGAGAGGCTGTGGGAATGAAGGAGTGGAGGGGCAGGTGTGGAGGACACTGTCCGTGGAGTGAGAATCCACACAGACGGCGGGGAGGTCAGCCCACGGGATGGAGGGCAGGCCGAGGCAGGGAGGGCAGGGGGCCCAAGGGCGTCCTGGAGCCAGAGAAGGAAACATTTCAAGAAGGATGGACTCGGCAAGGCAGAAACAAAGACCCCTGCAGCCCTCCAGTCACTCCCCGACAGGCTGTTTGTTTTCTCCCGGGTGCCCATCTGCTTTGTTAATACTATGCCTCTGCTTGCTGACTGGCACCTCCCCTAGGCTGTGAGCCCCACGAGGCAGGAGCAGATTGACTTTGGTTACCACTGAACCCCTGGCACAAACCCACGGCACTCAGTATGTGCTGGGTGAGTCAAGTGGGGCAGGACGAAGCGGGAAGGGCCTGCAGGTGGCCCTCACGACTCCCTGCACCAGCAGGGGGGCCAGGGGGGCATTACATACGGAGTCAACAGCCTCGAGGGGACAGGAAAGAGGGAGGAGGGGCAGCATGGAGGGGAAGGTGGGCAGGCCAGCTGAGAGGAGGGATGCTGGAGAGAAGGGGCTCCTCTTTCATGGGTCAGAGGGAGTTTAAAGGTCAGAGAGGAGCCGGGGAATAGTGTGCTCTGCTCTCTCTCACTGGCTGGTGGAAGGACTGCTTTGGAAGGCGGGCCCAGCATCGGGCTGTGGGATTAGCTGGCCTGGGCCAGCATTGTCAATTCTAAGGGGACAGGGGACTGGGGAGAGGCAGCCAGGAGCAAACAGGACTTAAAGATACAACTTCACGTTGGGCACAGGTCAAGACAGAGCAAACACTCAAAGAAAATGACCAGACACAACCAAGTGGAGACCTTCTTCAAAGCAGTGTGAAAACACTTCCAGAATGTAGTTTTAAAAGCATGGTTTAAGGTGAGGTCACTGTGTCCTTGTTTCATTATGAAATGGGGGTCCCGCATCTGTGGCTTCAGGACGAGCCCAGGGTCACACACTGGATCTACTGTCCTGCAGGTACAGCTGCCACTGTGACATTACGTCTCCCTTCTCAACCACCATCACAATTTACAGACTGCACGTGGAGCGTACTCGCCTTCAAAACGTGCTTTCTGTAATTTTGGCAAGATAGGAAGAAATATTTCTTTAAAATGCATGTTTGTAACTGTCTAAAAATAAGTATGACAGCGTCTTACATTTTTCATTTAAATTTTTAATTAATATCAAACCTGAGATAAAGCCAGGAATTTCTGTCCATGTAACTCCTACAATTAGTCATTTTTATAAACATCAATTGACCTCGACTGTGAGAGTTTACTTTGAACATGTACACTAAGAATAAAAGGAGTCACCAAAGTGGGTATACAAAGTCACTTTTCCATCTCAGCGACCGGATCGAAATAGCTTGATCATCCCAATGATCTAGGAACACTGAAATAGATTTCCTTCCCTTTTAAGAAAATAATCATTTTCTTACCTTAGACAAGTCTGACCATCTGGTTTTTGCTTTGGTAACAAGGTACTGATGAGCCTGTTCACAAGCTAGTTCTGAATCTGCGACCTTCTGTTTTGGTCTTAAAAGAAAAAAAAAAATAATCAATAACTGTGTTTAAATTTAATGAACTCATTAATCTCCCAAGGGGCTCCCCTCCCCCTGTTGGTTTCAAAGATCCCGTTAAAGTCTGTGACTTCACGTCTGCTCTAACTGCCTTCTGAAAATACAGCCTTACTTCCCCAGCTGCGCGTTAGGGAAGTCTTCTTAAATTTTATAAGTCCGTGTTTATTTTCAGACAACTACTACTCAACTTTTTCTGCATCTCACAAAACAAACAGGGCTCATTTATTCTCAGAGGGGAAAAAACCACAATATAACTTTAAATGTCTTTGGAAGAAAATAACTAAAAGCTTATTTCTGAATTTACAAGTTAGAGTGATAATGAAGATTAAGGTAAACAGTTCAGGAACAATGGAGAATATCGCTAACAGACTTCTCAGCCTCAGCTAATGTTCAAAAGTTAGCTTGTAGGTTGTAAAATGATCAAACTCGTTTATTTACCCACAGGATGAGGGGCACTGAAGACACTTAGAAACAGACCCTGTGCTCACTGCCTTGGCCAGGCCACAGCGGGGCACAGTGGAGACCGTGGCTGAAGGAATTTGGGGTGCCCTGGATTTTTTCCACTCCCCAAAACAAATTAGGGATGTGTAAAAACTTGTAAACCCCCAACTTCTTTCTCTGTGTGGCCTTGCTCCCAGGGAGCATCTATTATTCCACTTCCAGGGCCTTGAGGTGCTCCACACCCAGATCTGCACCCGCAATATTTTCCCAGTGGATACGAGAGTACTTGAGGCAGTCCTCCAGCAAAACCACTGGACATGCGTCACCCCGACGGTCTCCTGAAATGGGACGACATCTGTACTCCTGCTTGGAACCGCACTTATTCACAGGCACATTGGGCGATCAGTGCCTCTTGGCCGAGAGTGAGTACGAGGGACCCCCACAGAGGCCCCATATAGACTTTCACACGAGTCTCACAGAGGTGAGGGCCACCTTTGGTGTTTGCTGTGCTGAGGATCCTCTTTCCACTTAACATTTCTATTTCGAAACTAGTACTCTAACCCACCTGCTTTTCCGTTCCATCTCTCTCCAACTGCCTACCGGACCTCACAGAACCACGGAATTTCAAGGGTAGAAAGGGATCCACAGGTCACCCAGTCTGATCTTCCAACACTACTTTACCACTGAAGGTCTGGAAGGTCGGGGGGATTATGTTGCATTTTCACGGTTGCTCAAAAGGATTTAGGTGCTGGAGTCATGTATTCCCCTGCTTTCACCTTGAGACTCCTCCTAAATCCACCTGCACCCAGAGGACTCACCTGGACTTCCCCAAAGGTGCTCCGATGGAGATCCCAAGGGGCAGGTTCTGCCTCTGCACAGTCAGTGCATCCCCACTGACCTCACTGTCTAAACACAGACCCAACAGCCCCAGCCGACTTCTCCTCCAGGCTCTTGGCCTGGACTCTCTTAGTGAGCCACACTCAGAGCAGGCACTCCTGCTGCTTATCCCACCCACTTCTCCCCTTGCCATTTTACATATTTGTCTCCTCTAGGGAGATCAGAAGGTTTTTCCATGGCCTTTTCCAGAAGTTTCTTATTTCCTCTCCTATGGTCTGGCTCTTTAGATCTCGATGATTGATCAGATCCAGCCTTCCTACCAGCCAGTCCGTCAGTCACAGACACATAAAAACTCGTTACACACGTGCTGCTCTGGGTCCTGCAGATGCCGTGACGAGCAACGCGGACAGAGCTCACGTCCTCAGGAGCTCACACTGTGATGGTGAGAAACTTACAGCAAATACTTGGAAAAATGAGTGAATCAGATAACTTCAGATACTGAATGCCACTATGAATAATGACAGCAGGGGACGTTTCAGCTAAGAAGGTCAGGGAGTGGCTCAGGGAAGCGTGAGTGATGAGGAGGCCCATGTGTGACCTCGGGGAACAGCATTCCAGCCGGTGGGAGAGCCCTGCGATGTGCCTCTGGTCCGAGCAAGAAGGACTGGCACCCTTCACCCTTTCTCTCCAGCTGATTATGACTACAAACTCTAGACAGAAGACAAAAAGAAATTCTCCGAGGACACTAAGTAAGCAACAGGAGGCTGGTGGAGAGGGAAATCAAACTTGAAGAATGACTGATACAGAGGTGAGTTTCATGGTTTTGTCCTCCCATATTCCCAGTTTAGGCTTAAGGGCAGCCTGATTTTGGAACTGTGCAGCAGACGTGGACAGAAAAAGTTCCAAAAGAACACCTGTTTTTCTGACCAAAGAACTAGGCAGGAGGGCCTGCAGTACAAAAAGTATGGGAATCCCTCCTTTTTTTTGTCTCTTTTTACATCCCAGTCCTGATCCGAGGCAAGCCCACTTAAAAAACTGCACTTTTGTGATGGCGCCAGCAATAGCAGTGACCAAGTAGTACCTAAAAGTGAACTTCTTCTCTCTAACCAGAGGAAGTGGGAAAGGGGGGGGTCCCTGCGATTCAAAGAGTGTTGGAGGAATCCACATTATTTTTTTCTTTCACCATGTTGCCCTAGAGGTGGACCCAGTCATGGGAAGTGCACTACAGCTCAGGTATGCTAAAATCTAAGATTTCCTAGCCAAAAGACAAAAAAAAGTGGCCCCTGGGGCCTGGAGAGTGTGGGGAGAAATCACTGAGAGGCAAGAACTGGTAAAAGAGATGCACAGATCTGTGCAGGAAGCTCCAGGTTCAGCTCTGATGTGCACATGTGTGAAACTGGCCTGAAGTAGTCAAGCGAAAGTTTGGGAAATTGATTACTGTATGGTTAAGACTGGGCTCCACACACACGGGCTGGCCTGATGGTGTACAGTGACTCTGAAAACCAAACTGACACCAAAGCCACAGAAGGCAGTCAGGACTTGCCATCTGAAACTAACTGGATTGGTTGCCTGCTAAAACAAAACAAACAAACAAATGAACACACTATAGGGGATTTTAACAGGACCAGAGTGTCATACTACAATATTAAAAATGTTCATGATACAATCCAAAATCATTCAATATACAAAGAACCGGGAGAATCTCAACAATTATCAGGATATAAGACAACAGACACCAACTCCAAGGTAATGCAGGTGTTGACAATATCACAATTTAAAGCAGCTATTATAACCAGGAAGTAAGAGTGAACATCCTTGAAATAAGTGGAAAGACAGAAGTTCTGAGAAAAGAAATGAAAGCTTTAAAAAACAAAAAAAGAAAGAGAGAGAAAAAGAAAAAGAAGAGAACAAGTGAAAACTTTAAAAGTGAAAAATATAACAACAAAAATAAAATTTTTACTGGATTGGCTCAATGACAGAATGGAGGTGACAGAGGGATAAGTTAGTGAGCTTGAAAATAGATGAATAGAAATAATCCAATCTGATCAACAGAGAGAAAAAAAAGAGGAAAGGGGACTCAGGGACTACAGTACAGAGATCTGTGACACAAAATCAAAAGGTCTAACATTCATGTCACTGGGGTAACAAAAGGAGAGGAGAAAGAGATTGGTACAGAAAAAAGTCTAAAATCTTGAGGAAATAAGAGCTGAAATTTCCCCAAATTTGATGAAAAACATGAATTTACAGATTCAAAAGTTCAGTAAATCCCCAAAAAAGATAAACTCAAGAAAAATCATGCGGAAACACACTAAACTAAAACTACTGAAAACCAAAGATAGAGAAAAAACTGTGAAAACAACCCGAGAAAAACGACCATTTCACATGGAGGGAAGCCCATTCGGACGACTGTGGATTTCTCACCACAAACCACGGAGGCCCAAAGACAATGGAACAACATTTTTAAAATGCTGTAAACAAAACATTGTAAAATGCTCCCACCAGAATTCTATATCCAGCAAAGATATCTGTTAGGAATGAAGGAGCAGGGAAGATATTCTCAATGAAGGGAAACTAAGACAATTTATCTCCAGTAGACCTGCTCTAAAAGACATGCTAAAGGAAGTCTTTAGGGGAAGGAAAATGATAGCAGACAGAAACTTGGAACTTCAGAAATAGAGGAGGAGAAGCAGAAATGGTGAATATAAAGACTATTTTTTTCTGAGTTTCAAAATGTATGAAGCATAAATTAATAAAACTGGAAGGAGAAACAGATAAATGCAAAATTATTGTTAGAGACTTCGACACTTAACAATTGAGAGAACAAATAGACAGAAAACAAGCAAGAATATAGAACACCTGAACACTATCAATTGACTTGATCTCATTGACATTTACGGAGCGCTCTGTCTAACAACAGCCTAATACACGTTCAAGTCTCCACGGAATAGTCACCAAGACAGACCATTTCTAGGGCCCTGAAATAAACCTTAACAAGTGTAAAAGAACTAAATCATACGAAGTATGTTTTCTGACCATATTAGAATTAAACTAGAAATCAATCAGAGAAAGACAGCAGGAAACCAAGCAAATATTTTGAATTAAAAAACACACACTTCTAATAATCCATGGACCCAAGAGGAAGTCTCAAGGGAAATTAGAAAATATTTTGAACTGAATGAAAACAAGAACTGCAACATATCCAGATTTGTGTAATGCAGCTAAACCAGTGCCTACAAGGAAATTGATGGCATTAGGGATTATATTAGTAAAGAAAGAACTCAAATAAAAAGTCTGAGTTTCCAACCTAAGAAAACAAAAAAGAAGAGCAAACTATACTCAAAGGAAAAGAAATGAGGATATAATAAAGAAGAGAAATCAACAAAATTGAACCAGAAAAACAATAGAGAAAAATCAATGAAATGAAACGGTGGTTCTTAAAAAACATCAATAAAATTGGTAAACTTTTAGCCAAACAGATCAAGAAAAAAGGAGAGAAGACATCAACCACCAACATCAGAAATGAGAAAAAGCAATCACTAAAGACACTGCAGATAGTAAAAGAATAACACGGGAATACTATGAACACCTTTATCCCTGAATTTAACAACTTAGATGAAATGGACCAATATCTTAAAAGACAAAAACTAGAAAAGTTCACTCAAGAAGAAATCGAAATTCTGAATGATTCATAACTGTTAAACTAATAGGATTTATAAGTTAAAATCCTTCAAACAAAGAAAACTCCAGGACTTGATTTCATTGGTGAATTCTATCAAATATTTAAGGAAGAAATAACAATTCTAGATAATCTAGAAAGAGGATAGGCATTCACGACTTATATTCTTTCTTAGAGGTCTTCCAAAGAAACAACAAAAAAATTTATTTTCTTTGTGAAATAAAATTCATTCTCTCTTGCAATTATCCTATGGGTCCACTGAACCCTCTTACACGTCTGTGATACATTATGGGGTCCTAGTGATCTTAATTGTAACTTTACTACATCTATTTCATCACCCTAAGAAATATTCAGTCATTACTCATTGTCTCCAACTATGCTGAAAAAAAAAAGAGACGAATAATAATAGGAAAACAAAAAATGGTGGAATTGCTGGCAGGATGATATAATATCGAAAAGAATCCCCACTATTGCATCACCCTGCAGTTTTCTGATTGCACTGCCCGAAGTCTAACAGCTCCTTTCAAGAAAGTACAAAAGCAGACAGTGACACCATCTTGTAGTCTTATGTTAGCTTTCACTGAACACAGTTGAAAATTCAGAATTCTGATTTCATGCCCAACTAGCAAAGGGAAGAAAACTGAGATAGCAAGGTATTTCACAATTATTAGATAAACCAGAAGATAAATGCGGAGAGAGAAGAGCACTCTAGATTCCACCGATGATGGTGAAACTGATCGTATAAGCCAAATCTCTTCAGGAGTGAATGATCTATTTCTAACACAAAAAGGAAATTTGGTGTTTTCCTTCAGTTAGTCATTCATCAGGAAGGACTTGATCATACAATATTTTGTGACAAGAAGCTGGACCATCTAATTTTGCTAAAAGGACAAAGGACAGTATTCTTTCCTCTTTTATGATGTGTTGCACCAAAATGTACTTGATGTGGGTCGTCAGGAGACGAAGGGACAAGGCAGGTGAGTTTTCAACAAGGCGACTGGAAGGAAACAGATGATGTAGAAATGAAACAGGTCATTGGACCAATTAGTCTATTTGGTATTCATACATCTAAAAATGAAGATGTTTTGCAGTTATGAAGCAAACGAGGTCTTCCTCTCTTCAACAAAGTTCTGAACTCTCCAAGTTTCCAGAAGTATTGTTTTGATGACGCAGGTGGGAAGTGAAGGCCCGAAGGCAGAGGGACCCATCGGAGAGGGTAGGATGGCTTCCAGAAAGGGATGGTGCCCAGGTCTGGCTGGCGGAGAAGAGTGAGGCTTGGGAGGGTGAGTTTCTAGGCAGAGAAAGCAGCCCTCCCAACAGGCACCCTGGCTTCAAATCTGTGACCCGTCACCCACCACCTGGGTCCTTCCGGACAAGGCATTAACTTTTCTCTAGGCCCCAGTTCCTTCATGAGGAAAGTCAGGGAGTAATGCCTCCTTGTGGGCTGTTGGGGTATTGAAGGCTATCTCTTCAGGAAGCACAGGCAGGCGGTCTGGCCACGGCAGGGCTCGGCTTTCTAAAGCACTGCCTTGGCTGGCATCTCAGAGCTCTCTCTCCCCAGACCCTGGGAGCCCAACCTGGATCTCCCTGGGCTCCAGCCTCTCCTCCTGTATATCTACTTCTGCTCTAGGGCTGCTGAAGGGTCTTTCTACAGCACAAGGTGACCCTCTCACTCCACAGCACAAAATCCTCTCCTGCCTACCAACAGTGGATGAAGTCCCCAGCCTGACACTCACGCGCCTTCACAGCCGCCCGCCTGCCTCTCCAGGACTCCCCTCCCACCATGCCCCACCGTGCACGCACACATCGTGCAGGCTTCTGCACACGCATCCTCTCCCCATTTCCTGAATGTGCGCAACACTCCCACCTCTGTGGTTCTGTAAATGCTATTTGCTGGCCCTGGAGCACCATCTGGTAGCCTGCACCTGCTGAACTCCTACTCCCACCTCAAGATCCAACTCAAATGGCCCACTTTTTCCTGTGCACCTCAAGCAGGCTTAGCCTGTCCCCTCCCTGTGGCACTTCAGACATCCTTGTATTTCAACGTAGCTCTTTATTTTTGAATCTGTCCCACATTCGACCACAAGCTGCTCAAAAGGAATGTTCATCTTATTCATCTTGGTACCACCTAGTCCTGGGGCAACACATAGCACACGGATGACCCCCAGTGAATATCTGATGAACGAACGAACAGGTACAAATAAGAAAGTTGAGTCATTTGAACAAAAAGATTGTGTTTTGTGGTTGAAATGTTCCATGTTCATTCTGCATACATTCTCCATAAAATTCTTTCTGGAGATTTTTTTTTGTTTTGTTTTAATGTTAAGCAATCCAGTCTCACATTACAGCTCCTCAGAACCTACGCACCGGAAGCAGGCGTCCGCCTCCCGTGCTGGACGACCGGCTCACTGAGACAGAGGCTACGGTCGTTTTCTTTCTCACTGGCTTTTTTTAAGTATGGACAAAATAAATTCAACAGATTCAGGGGGGGAAATTGAAGTGCAGGATCAGAGGGCGTTCTGCAGCTGCCAAGTATCACACAGTAGGGCCCAGTGCCAGGGGCTTCCGGGGGCTCCCCTGCTAGGGGCTTGCCCTCGCCTGGTGGGGGGCCACTTTTCTGGAGCCCCTGGGGCTACAAGTGGCTCGAGGGCAAACAGCCTAGTGAATTTACTACCGAGCGGTATCACTGACGCAGAAAACACAGCGCTGCGTTATCACGGTGGAGGGGAACGTTTCCAAAATATTAATACTTCTTCTAATAATTGGTCAAGGAGGGGCTGGATGGCTACTTCATTCATGCCTGTCGGCATCCACAGATCTCAATGGGCAGCTGACCGTGACGGGTACTGGGTGAGACGGGAGGCCCGCTACTGCCTCAAGGAGCGTGTGCTCTTCCTGAGAGAAGCCCAGGAGACGACGGGAGTTACAGCCCGGCGGGACGCAGATTCTCCTCCTGGCCTTGAGGGAGGCCGGCCTGGGGTGGACGGGGGTCTGGGGCGGAGCACTGCCTGGGAAGGCCTGGAAAGGGGTCCTTGCCTCTCCCAAAGCAGTTGGCTCGGCTGACCCCAGATTTATAACAAGAAAAATGTAAGTATATGTATATATTTATGTGCCAAGAAAAAAGACTGAAATGACACTCAGTTTCCGTCAATTCCCACAAGGTGTTGTGTGGTTCCCCGATTCACATCCATTCCTAGGCTAACATTTCAGCGCCCAGAGGACGTCCACTGTTCTCCTGACAAGCATGCACGCACTGCCCTCTGCACGGCCCTGCAGCGGGAGCCTGCGAGAGGGGCGGTAGCTGAGACAAAGTGTGCTGTGCGGAAGGTCTGGGAAGGCTGAACAACATGCACATACATATGGCCTCAGATTTATAAAAAGAAAGGTATATGTACATGCTTATGTGCATAGTAAAAAGACTGGAAGGATACACAGTGAAACAGAAACCGATGCTCAGGTGGTCAGATCAGGCCGTATCTTCTCACCTGTGTCTGTGTTTTCCAGTCTGTCTACACTGTATACTCCTTGTGAACTGAGAAAAAGACAGAATAATCGCTCCTGGAGGCACCCCCATTCTTTGCAGCCCCTTTGTGGGCACAGTGGAAATGCTGGACTTCGTGTTACCAAAGGCCGGCACATACAAGCCGCTGAGCTGGGCTGCCGTCTTACCTAATGAGTCTTTGAGGCACGTCGTCTGTTCTTAAAGGTCTCTTCTCGCACAAATTTTGAAATTCCCGAAAGTTTAAGGTGGTGCTGAGTCTCAGGCCCAGCAGGCCCAGGAAGCGCTCGAACTCTTCATCCCTGAGGTTGAGCAGCAGGCGCTGGAGCAGCTGGTGGAGGTTGAGCATGCTGATGATGCCGTCCCTGTCGGTGTCCATCTCAAAGAAGGCAGAGTAGGGACCCTGAAAACAGAACGCACCCGTCAAAGCCCTTCCTTCTGAACCCAACGAGGACACACTTCCAACCCCCCGGGCACGCACGTCTCTCCAAAAGGACGAAGGGGCAGCGCTTTGACTACTGTTTTCTGGAGATCTCACTGCTCCAGGAATATCCTTGGCATGTTTTGCATTTCCCAAGAAATTAAAAACTATGTTCTCCAGTGTCCTTTTATAATGCAAAGAGTTGAGGAAAAGAGACGAGAAAGGCTTTTCTTTCCTTTCCACTCTCTTCATTTATGGTACCCGTACTTCCAGTATGAGAAGGAAGAAAGAGTAGGCCGGAGCTTCCCAGTATAGACAAAAATCTTGCTCTGGATGTTTTTCTATAACTTTCTTAATGTTTGGCAACTTCTGTCTACAGGAAAACAGCGCCGTACTGGATTTCACCCTGAAGAGCCACCCGGAGGCCAGGTCCCCGTCTTCGATGACTGCCCTGAAGACCCAGCCTTGCCTGAGACGGGCCTGTTGCATCTGAAGCACTGTGCACGGGTGCATGTGCTGTCAGTTCTGCCACACGAGGGGGCACAGCGATTCTCATTTTGCAGATGAGGAGACAGAGGCTGGGGGGGAACCTGCGACTTAGAGGCCGTGCTGCACAGTCGAGGGCACATTCTGGAGGCAGGCGGCTTAGTTTCAAATCCCAGCTCTGCTGCCTACCAGCAGCATGACCTCAGGAAAGATGTCTAACCTCCCATTTTCTCATCTGTAAAATGGGGACTGTACAAGTCCCAGCTTCCTGGGGTGGTTGTGAAGACTGAAGATGCTAACGTGAGCAAAGCACTGAGAAAGTGCCCCACGTATTTCATAAGCACTCACTCCAAAATGTTGGCTACTATTACGGTTGCCTGAGGTCGTACAGAAAGTGCCCAGCAGTCGGGATTTGAACGGGCTCTGTCAGGGTCAACACCTGCGCTTCCACAATGTGTACTTCCTGTGTCTCAGGCTCGACGAGTTGCAGATGTGGTCCCAACACCCCTCGTTTCCATCATTCCCTGATTAAGTCCAGGGTCTGCCATGAGAGATTACTTATAACATAAAGCAAGACCTGCTACGACCCAAGCGTCTAATGACAATGTTCTGAGATTTTGTGGAAAGATCTGTCTATATTCACTCATTCATTCATCCACCAAAAATTATTCAGCACCCAGTACGTGAAATCACTGTGCTAAATACCGTGGGAATCAATTTAAAAGATGCTGCCCCTGCTTCTCAGTGACATCACCATCCAGAGGCAGATGTGTAACCAGCTGGTGGCCTCTTCTCTAGTAGCACCACCCTTGGGGCCTCCTCCTCGGGGCCACAGGACCAACCATTTCGCAGCGATCCCCCCTCTGTCGCCAGCTCCACGGCCTCCCTCACCCTCCAGACTCACAGCTCCAACGGCTATGGGCTATCTCCTCTTGGACGTCAAACCCAACGAGGCCAAAATCAAACGCTTCACCCCCAACTCGCTCCTGCCAAGTCTTTCCTGTCTCGAGAAGAGGCAGGGCTTTCTTCCAGTTGCTCAGACCACAAATCCTGGAGTCATCCTCGCTTCCTCACTTTCCCTCACACCCCACATCTAATGTGCGAACACATCCCACTGGTTCTCCCTTCAGAATCAGATCACTGCTCCCAGCTGCGCTGTGTCTCCCCAGACCCAAGGCCCCTGATTCCTGCAGGAAGCCCGTAATGAGCCCCCAGCTCGCACCCTGGCCCCCATCCTCTGTCCTCACAGCAGCCAGAGTGACTCCTTCAGAGCTCAAGCCAGCGCATGCCGTTCCTCTGCTCACCGCACGGGCTCTCCGTCTCTTTCAGGGTCCAATCCCAGTGCCGACCATGGCCCCCAGGCCCCTCCGCCCTCATCTCCTCCCCTGGCCCCCTTTGCTGTTGTTTGCATACGTCAAGCCTGCCTTAGGCATCTCAGGGAATTCTCCACCCACCCCTGTACTCCGTTAGGTGTCTGTCCGAACGTCCCCTCTCCAGGGAGGCATTTCCTGACCCCTCTGTACAACAGCACCACTCTGATCAGTCTCTGGCCTCTGCTTTGTCTTTTGTCACAGCACATGACCCCCCAACATCCTGGAGATGCGTGTGTTCACAGTCTGCTCCCCTCTAGAAGGTCCATGTGAAACCTCACGCTCCTCCTGACAGCAGCAGCTCTGAGAGCAGTGCCCGCTGCGTACCTGTGGAACGACACTGTTGGGTATGAAGAACGCAGCAAACATTCCTGGGCACCTAGGTACAGGACATACTGATAACTAAAACGTGGTCCCTGACACCAAGGTCGTCACAGTGTGGTAGGGAAGAAAGACACGTAAGCAAACCACAGCACTTCGGTGTGATCCATGCAGTAGAGGAAGTGTGAAAGACGTGCTCAACGCCAGCCTTAATCGCTGGACTACAGGGACAATCTAGATGCCAGGGCACCCCATGTTTATAAACTTCACAAATTTATAAACTTTCATTGTTCCCAAATCTCAGTCTTTAACTTCCCAGAAAGAAGCCTACTAATTTTAATAGGTAGCACATAGACTTGGTAATCAAACAGATGTCATCTCAATTCTTGCTTATGACATTTACTAGATGTGTGGTTTTGGGTAAGCTTCCCTCATCTCCAATCCTCAGTTTCTCCATCCATAACATGGGACTGTTAGTGCCTACCTGATAGGGCAGTGGTGGGGATTAAAACAAATGAGGCCATACGTGGACACCTTCCAGTTCACTGCCGGGCATACAATGTGAATTCTTTCACTCATTCAACAAACACATCTTGATCGTCCACTACATGGCAGGCTCCGTGGGAGCCATTCGGGTTACTGTGGTGAATGACTGGGAAGACTCGGGCCTTCACGTCTCATCGAATTCCAGTTCCTCAGACACCGAGTGCTGGGAGGGGAATCTCCAGCAGCACGTGCCCCCGGCAGATCAGAGGGCCAGGGGAAGGCCCAAGGGCTTGAGAAAGACCAAAGCTTGGGGAGGGGTTAACTGGTCCAAGGGGGAGGAGCAGCAATCCCGGCAAAGGAACAGAATGTGCAAAGACAACAGGGCAAGGAAGAGCACTGGCTGGAGCACGAAGCGAGGAGAAGAGGGGTGAAGGTGCAGCTGGGGAGGAGGCCACGGCCAGTGCAGAGCCAGGGGCCTGTGGCCGGTCAGGCAGGATCAAGGGTTGTCCTAACAGCAGAGGGGACGCTGTGACCTGAGCTGTGTGTTGAGACCACCCGCAAGGTCACACGTCCAGGACAGACCGTGAAGTGAAGACGCAGCTGCAGAAGTGTGTGTATGGAATCCTCCTATTGGTGTGGGAGCTTTTTACACATGAATCCGTGGATACTTGCCGGGACACCGTCTAGAGGGTGAGCCCCGGGTTGAAGGGGAACCCACAGTGGCCACACAGAACCTGTCCCTAGGTCCCCAAGGGGGTCTCTGTGCCTCCTTTCCTCACCACAGCCAGGGAGGGAAGAAGTCCCCTGTCTGGTCACAATGAATTATCTCCTTCAACTGGCCACGGTCTTTGGCCTGGGCCGTGAGGGTGTGATTAACTAACTCGGCTTGGCTGTTGCCCACAAACCTAGCTGAGTGCTGAGATGGACTCCTCTGGCTACAGCAGCAGCAGTGATATTTTAATAGTATTATAGTTCAATAATAGTTTAACAGTATTTTAAATGAATTCACGGTTTTTCATTATTGATGAGGAGAGATGTTCGAGAATTTCTCACGAATAGGAACTTGATAAATGAAGTAAAGGGACTGAACCTGTGGGTTCACCTTCAAAAATCAAGGCACAAACTTTGTCCCATTCACATACACCCGTGGGGACAATGAGCAGATCCCCAGGGACCCCGGATGTGCCCTGCATCCCAGTACGAATCATGCAAGCCCTGGCGAGTAGGGCTACACTCTCTGTCTCACGCACCAGACCGTGAATTCTTGGTGTCAGTGAGTGGGTGTCGGTGAAGGCTTGTTGAGTCAATTCGTTATTTAAGTATTTAAAATAAAGATCTCTTAGGAAACACGGGCCACGTGCTGCAACAGGGCTGCACTGATAACTCAAGTTAGGACAACAGCGGTGCTGGCGTGGAGTGAGGCTTCCCCTCGGTGCCCCCCGGGAAAGGTGAGTGAGAGGAGAAAGAAGCCAGAGAAGGGAGTCTGGGTTGCAGGGGGCAAGGCAGCAGGATGATGGCAGCAGGGCCGCTGGCCTGGGACCTGTCCAGGCTCTCCGGTCCCTGCCCACCAGCAGGGAGCGCACGCTGCTCCGGTGCGTCTCTGCCTCCCTCAGCCCCCTCTCCCTCCTCAGAGATCCAGGCTCCCAACCCCCTAAGCGACCCCTGCCTGCCCAGCGTCCTTCTCGGCTGGGCATTAGAGTGGGCTCAATAAGGAAGACTAACCTTCTGTGCATGCTTATGGTGACGATGTTTTTTCAAACCAAGAATTAGGATGCATGGTCTGACAGCTGGACAGAATGGTCATAGTCAGAACCATCCTGCAAATCCAAGCCAGACAGTCATCATAAACCTGCTTATTTTAGAACGAGAGCTTGGTAACCAGCTGACTCTCCAGCTGGCAATCAGTGTGGGGGAGATACTTCAGAGCGCAGGAAACTCGGGCTGCCCCAGCCCCCCCCCACCCGAGGGCCCTCCCCATCTCCTTGCCTGCGGCTGGTTTGCTCCTGCAGGCCCTGGGGCCCCCAGCCCTGGGTTAGGACAGGTCCTAATTCCCTGGTGCCCTCTGCTCTGTTTTGTAGCTACTATGGTCGGCTTATTAAATTGATCTTCCTTCCCACTTCAGTCACCCTTGTTTACCTGTCAAAGGGAGCTGAGGTCATTCTGCACCTGCCTCTGTGTTTGAATGGCAGCTATTTCTCCTATCTTATTGTTACGACTTCCACATGCAACCAATGCCTCGGTCACAGTGAGCTGTGAGCTTTCCCAAGCTCATGACCTGTCAGCCACCTCCTTGCTCAAGATCCCTCTTCTACTGTTTGCTCCCCTCTTTCTCTGGCCAGCACATGCTGAGGTTTAAGATTAGGTTCAGGGGTCACCTCCTCCAGGAAGCCCTCCTTAATGGGGTCTTCTCCCCATGCACCCATAGCACACTACCACTCCCTCTCCAACAACCAACCACGACGCGTCTGAATCGGCCGGTTCCATCTGCCTTAGACTGGACTGAGCCCCCGAGCAGGGCTCGCGTCTTTCATCCCAGCCTTCGGCAGAGATTCCAGCGCACAGGAACTGTGTAATATCTGTTCGGTGAGGGAGTGAGTGGAGTGAGTGGAACAGATGAATGGAGCCTAACTTCACCGTAACTGAGGGTGTCAGGCCCCTCTGCCCTCCGGTCTTGTGAGGAACGTCTCCTTACTCTTCCGAGGCCTTCGAGAGGCCGAAGGCAGACCCTGCAAACGCCAGCAGGGCAAGACCTCAGGGAGGGAGGGGACCACAGAGTCAGGCCCTGCCACCCACCCACCCCCGGGACGGGACAGGGGAGAGGGGCAGGCCTGTGTCTGTGGAGGAAAGTGCTCTGTGTCCTGTGACGAGCAGGACGTGATGGAACTCCGGGAATCACCCCCAGGTGGCTGAGTGGCTGGAGGGGGTTCCAGATAAAGCCAGCAGCAGACAGGTCCTACTTTACCCGGAAGGACTCCTTCAGTCTCTGGGGGAACTGTCTGAGGCACTCTTCCGCGGTCACAAAGCTGTCCAGGTTACTTTTGGCAGGAACCGGAGTCTGGGATGGAGTCACTTCTCGCTCTTGCACTCTAGCACCTGAAACAATTACATCAATCAGAAGGCCCCCGTTAGTGGTGTGCACACCTCTTTCTTTCCACTTCAACACTTGATTTCTTCCTGTCCCAAATCCTGTCAGAATACTAGACAGTAATACGACCCTGTGAATTGAATATGGCATTAACTTTGTCATAATCTGGTTTCTTAGAAATTCTCCTATCCTGACAAGAAGCGCTTGTTCTCTGGACTATGGGGACTGTGCTCTCGCCCAGCACAGATGCACCATCGCGCCTCTGCCTGTTTCCTTGCCCTGCGTCTCTGTCCCTTCTCCAGGGCAGGCATTACACCTTGTACATCTCTCCATTCCCAGAGGCACAGAATGAGAATTCCTGCCCCTTTTGTGTTTCCTAGAATCATGTCCTCAAGTCAGGAAGGTGTCATTCAGTCAGTGTTTATTAATTTCCCAGGTATTTCCTGGCTACGTATCTGCTCAACATTGTGCTGGGGCCCCCCTATATTTCTCAGCCCTTTCAACAACCCTTCTAAAATTCTATGGCTTCTCATGCTGCCTTTTCCCCACGGTGCAGACTTCTCTCTTCAGGAGATGAAATGGCAAAGGAAAGTCTGGCGGGGCTGGATGGGACCTGGGTGTTTTCCTGGTGAGGAGTCCCAGCTGCCAGTCTCTCAGGTGGAGGGAGACCATTACGTCACCCAGTCACCCGCCAGGCCACACTCGGGGAGGACGACAAAACGCAAACAGGGCTTCTGAGTTCTGCCTGTCCAGCCTGCAGTGCACTTACAGTAAAATAGAGAAGTACGCCCTGGATATATTCCTGTGATTTCTGCAGCTTTTCTAGAGGGCTCATTGTCTACATAAACTTCAGTGACAGTGGAGAGAGGACGTGGACAGACGCAGCAGCAGAGAGGCGGGAGGCTGGGGGCTGCCATCTGCCTGCCAGGCGTGGGGCCGGGAGAGCAGAGGAGTGGACTGGAGGACCAGCTTTGGACCTCGACTACACCGTATACGAGGAATTTCCTGACGACTGTGTGGGGCGGGGAGGGGGGCGGGACAGTGGCTGAGTGATCTTGGGCACGTCACAGAATCTTTTAGAATCTCTGTGTCGTCATCTGCCTTGCTGGTGTCTGGGCGTCACGAAGCGTGGACGGCCAGCGTCTACCTTTAGGAGGAAAACTTAAAGGACGTGAGGTGTGATGGGGAGCACAGGCTTCGGAGTAACTGTCACAAACCACGTGTGCTGTAAGTTCGCGGAAGGCTCTGTCAGGCACAATTCCGCACGCGTGAAAAGAAAAGGCCGAAGCATGGTCAGATAGAATTGAGTGGAAACGTCTGTTTCCAGTCTTAGAACACACACTGTTTTCAACATCCCAGCTTCCGCTACTTCAAGCCCCGCAGCCTCGCGGCCACTAGGAGGGACTTGTGGCGCCACTGGAGACGCGGCCCATCAGGGTTTGCACTTGGCAATTAGCTACCTTCAAATCCTGTTGCAAAATCAAGGTAACTCATCCCTTCCTTCTTAAATCCTATTTTTGCAGTTAGCAGAGCATACTGATCATCGTCCATGGGCATTCCATGATCTTCCAGTACCTGACAAGGGAGACAAGTGAGGGACAGGTGGTTAGGTGGTCCTGGGGTCCCTGCCTGGCCGAGCCCGTCCAGCCCGCTGCAGGCTCACCACCATGGCCCAGACGCTCCAGCCTTGATTGTTACTTGTCTGCCCCCATCCACAGGCTCCCTGCAAGCGGGGCCGGTGTCCTGGATCCCTGGCCCAGGACAAGGCTGTTTGTTGAGTGAATGAGTGAACAAAGGAAGCAGTGGGCACCCGGCCTGGGGGGCGGTTGGCACGGCCTTCAGGGCTGTGGCCCGCACTGCGAACCTTTCAAAGGCCATGCCATCCCAGATACTCAGATCCACGTTTGCCGTGACCATCGTGGCTGTCGAGCCTCCTAAGTTAGATTCACATTCACATAAATCCTAGGAAACACCAGCAAAATAAAGCAAGGAGACTTGAGGAGGGAAAAGCAAAATTTTGATTAAAAGTTTCTTTCTGGTCGGCAGTTTAAATTGTAAGCTCCTGTGGGTTTGGGGCGGAGGTGGGCAGGGCATCCATGGAGACACTCTTTCATCCTCTCCTCACAGGAGTCCACTCCTGAAAGTCACCCACGGTCGCTTCACCCCACCGCACATAACCTACTGCTTACGAGTGGTTTCCATTTCGTGTGCATGAGTGTTGGGGGGCACCTGGGCAAACGCACGTCCCCCCAGCGAGGCAGACCCATCCGGCCGAGTCTTCCTAGGAGACGACGCCTTCCCTGGGGAAACTGATAGGCTGGGTGTTCCAAGGCCGATGATGCCGTCACCCCTTTGGCCAATGGCCAGTCAGTCAACAACCTGGACAGAGCCACCTACCTGCCTGGAGGTGAGCCCCCCAGAAGGGATGCTGGCAGGGACATAGGCAGCACAGAAGACACCATCCCTGCTGCTCTCAAAGTATGCACAGTTTCAATGAGGAGACATGGCTTTTCTTCCAGAAAAGGACATTGGAACACAGTTCAAAATGTGTCTGTGTGTCTAACAGCCAAGACGTCCGGGATGATATCTCACCTGGGACAGATGCAGGGAGCCCGTCTGGGAGCACCGAGGCTGGAGGCGGGGTTTGAAGAAAAGATGTGCATGTGTGGCGGGGGGTGGGGAATACACGGACCAGCCTTAACAGATGTCAGGGTCCTGGTGCCACAGGAAGCCGGAGTGAGTGGGAGAGCAGAGGACAGCAGGGTCAGCCCTACACCAGCTGCATTCTGAGGCGGAAGCTGAATGGGAGAAAGGGAACAGGAGGGTGGGGCGAGATGGTACACATCCTCCTCCTCCTGAGGCAGCCAGGCCTATCACCTTTTATGTCCCAGGCATTGCGCTGAGTTCTTTAAGGAGTTACTTAAGTCTCATTTAATCCTTATCAGAGCCTTGAGAAATGCACTCTCACTAACCCATTTTAAAGATGTGGAAACTGAGAGTTTAGGTGACTCGTCTCAGTCACATAATTAGGAGGTGACAGATGGGGATGAAACCCAGCTCTTCTTACTAACCACTATAAACTCCACTGTTGGAATAAGGTCACCAGGGCCTGGACAAAGAACAGGGCGGGCAGCAAGGGAGAGGAAATGACAGCAGGAAGTGGGGGAAGGGCTCGCCATGGCGCCTGGTGCCCTCGCTTGTATCCGAATAGGCCGTGTAGACAAAGGCCGCTCTGGGTCTTGGCGGAACACCAGAGGACGGGAGGCCTCTAAGGAGCTGCTGTGAGTTCTCTCCCACTCGCCTCTTCTCTCCCCCAGGAGGCTGCCGCGGATGGCTTCTCCTCGCCTCCGGGTTCTGATGAGGTGGGGAGCCTTCGGCCCGGCCTCCTCAGACTCGAGCTGCAGAATATAAACCCACATAGCTGCAACAGGGTACCCATGACTCGCAGTGCAGTCATCACGCCCTCTGTCTTGGCTTCATCCTCTTCGGTGTGTGGGACTAGGACCCAGGGAGCTGGCCCCTTCAGCTGTCCATGTCGGTAATAAGCTGTCTGAACACGACAGCGGCTCATTGGATCTGTGCCGCCCCACTGCTCAGACTCCGGCCCTGGCTTGGCTGGCGTGCGTGAGTTGAAGTGACCGAGCTGCAGGATGTGCTTGGTCAGGATTGGAAGCAGAGCGAAGAGGGAAGGGAATGCAGGTGTTGTGGTGCTGCCTGGGGGCCTCGGGGGGGTGCTGCGCTGGATTCCAGGACTATCCCAAGGGCCTGCCTGGGGACTTGGGCTGGCAGCACGTGCCTGGGAATTCTGACAGCTCCGCGCCACCTGCACATGCACCCGTCCCAGTTCTGCGGAGGCGCCTGTCCCAGCACGGGATGGTGCAAGTGTTTAGACAGAAAGCCGGGCCCACGCACAAGTACCAGGCAGCAGGGGGCCTCTGAAACAGATAGATGGGTTGCTTTCTTTGAAAAATAACTTTACATTTTGAAAACAATTACACATGAATTATTCATTGCAAATTCCTCCCGCTCAGCCCTTTCATAAAAACATATGTAACGGATAGTAAGAAAATGTCTGCAGGCAAATGTTTCAGAGCCTGGAGGGTTGCGAAGCAGGGGGAGGGTGGCCAGGCCGTAGGCCGCCTGCCCAGCGGCTGTGGGCACAATCCCCGCTCAGCACAGAGCATCACCAAGGACACAAACCCAGACAGCACAATCCCCAGAAGGGGCACGAAGCATTTTGCAAACACGAATGCCTCTTCCTAATGCCTCCCCCTGCACTGCTCTCATCTCTGAGATGAACACAGCAGCAAATCAACTAGATTTATCACAACCCTCGGAGGCAATTTACAATACAATGTGAGGCTGAACTGCAACATTTATAAAACAGATTTTAAAATGTTTACCGTTCAAGTCATGTCCTTTGGTTTTTGCTCAAGAAATCCTCAAAGAGGGACAAAATGTGCGGGGCCAGCCCCCTGGCCGAGTGGTTAAGTTCACGCACTCCATTTCAGTGGCCCAGGGTTTTGCCAGTTTGGATCTTGGGTGCGGACCTAGCACCACTCATCAAGCCACACTGAGGCGGCGTCCCACACAGCAGAGCCAGGAGGACCGACGACTAGAATGGACAACTATGTACTGGGGGGCTTTGGGGAGAAGAAGAAGAAGAAAAAGAGTGACAAACTGTGGCCTGGCCTATTCTGATTCACCGGATAGTGACTTCTGCATTCTAGGATGTCCTTTAGATTGCAGACCACGTCTTCCTCATGAGGCCACACCACTGCATGGAGTCCTTGCTGGGCTTTCTCCATGAAGGCAGGTGTTCCCAGTGGGGCCCCAACAACCGGAAGTTGAGGGGGTGACTCAGTCTTTTCTAAGCCCAGCGACTGCGACGCATCCTGGGAGGGAAGCACCATGTCTCTACATGTGAGTCATACCTGTCTGCTATGCCTCTTTACACCATTTTTTTGGTGGTTGCTCTAGGGCTTACAACACACGCCTTTAACTTTTCAGTCTGTGTGGAGTTTGTACTGAGCCACGTCACAGAAACTGCAGGAAACTTGCGGCCACGTGGCTCCAGACCCTGCCCCCGTCCTTTAAGCTACAGTTGTCATTCGTTTTACATCTATATGTAGACCCCACAAGACCAGGTTTAAATGTTTGCTTTAAATACATAAATGCATTTTTTTAATGTTAAGAAAAGAAAGGTTTTGACTTGTAACCTGATATTTACCGTTTCCAGTGTTCTTCATTCCTTCACGAGCATCTGGCTGTCCCCCTAGGATCAGTGCCCTTCAGCCTGGAGAACTTCCTGCAGCGTTTCTTGCAGTGAAGATCTGCGTGCGGTGAATTATCCTAGTTTATTTTAATTTGAAAATATCACTATTGCACCTTTATTCTGAAAGAAGACTTGTGCTGGGTGTAAACTCTAGGTTGAGAGATTTTTATTTATTTTTGCTTTCCTCTCAGCCTCTTAAAAGTTACTGTCCCACTGTCCTCTGGCTGCCATTGTTCCTGACGACAGGTAAATGGTCATTCAGGTCGCTGTTCTCCCCTTCGTAATGTGTCATTCTCACATGCTGCTTTTAAGATTTCTCTCTTTGATTCTGATCTTCAGCAGTTTGTCTAGGATTTTCTTTCTATTTATCCTACTTGGCTTTTTCTAAGCTTCTTGAATCTATACACATAGGCCTTTCACCCAAAATTGGAAAATTTCAGCCATTATTTCTTCTTACATGTCTTCTTCTCTAGTCTTCCTCTCCTTCTGTGGCTCCACTTATACCTATGCTAGACCTTTCCATGCTGCTCCATGTGTCCCTGAGGCACTGTTCTTTCTTCTTCTCCTTCTTCTTTTTTTACCCTTTTCTCCCTCTCTTCTTCAGTTTGTATAACTTCTACTGATCTGTCTTCAAGTTCACTGCCTCTTCCTTTTGTCATCTCCATTCTGTAGTTAAGCCTATCTGGTGAATTTTTTTATTTCAGACATTTTATTTTTCAGCTCTGAAATTTCCATTTGGTTCTTTTCATAAATTCTATTTCTCTGCTGAGATTTCCTATATTTTCATTCATCATCATTATATTTTCCTTTGCATCACTGAATGTAGTTACAATAGTTACTGTAACGTCTTCGAGCGCTAATTCTAACATCCTGGATCTTCTCAGATATTTCTCTTGAGAAAGATCACATGTTGCTATTTCTCCAGATGCTGAGTAATTTTGGATTGTGTCCCGGACGTTGTGCGTGTCATGGTGTGGCGATTCTGGATTCTGTTACATTTCGTTTGTTTGTTTGAGCAGGCAGTAGACTTGGTTGGACTCAAACTGAAAAAGCCCATCTGCTGGGCCGCAGGTTAAATCTCAGTTCGGCTCGTTGACACTCAGCTCGGCTGCTCGCGTCGGCCCTGCTCTCGTGTGGTTCAGGGTCAGCCAGGGATTCGGGCAGAAATTCTGTACAGAATGTGCAGCATCCACTCTCTGGCTGTTTCCTTTCCAGAATCTCCCTTTACTTTCCAATGGCATTCGTTGCCCAGACCTCCTTCTGCCCTCTGCTTCTTCAGGCTAGAAAGGCTGCTGGTTTT